CCTCTCATGGGTCAAATAAAAAATTTTAATATGCACATATATGGGGTGCCTGACCCCGTTTTTCGACAGGATGTGTTCGTCGATCATTCGAAAAGCTCGGTTGGGATTATAGACGTTATCACCTTCCGAAATCGTCAAGCTGGCGACGCCCAGAGTCTTGTGAAAATAACTTCCTGCCATTATAACACAAATGAACAAGGTTCTACTATCCTTCCGATGATAAAAAATTGCCGAAATGTCAGAGATGATATAAATATTCCTATTCCCGATCCATTGCTTCGGCTTGGAAGACCGCACGTGCGTTTTAGGAACAAAATAAATTTTCGAAGATGGAATCCGCATGCGTGTGAAGAATCCATGGCGTGCATCATCCGATCCTGAATATGGAGAGTCAATAGGAATAATAATACGATAATCCATGTTATTACCATCCTACGGGAGATGGAACAAATATCCCGCTTCGCTTGGCGCGGGATGGGATTAACGAAAACTTCTGGCATTCCGGCTCTGATCATCCTTCGATCCGGTTGGGTTCGATTCGAGGATTCTTAGTTATAATTTCCATTCCCTTATTGGAAGTTTGAATTCAGAAAGACGAGTGCATTCCACAGTCACGCGCGCGCAAAGAGAGCTTACTTGGCGGATGCAGCTCCATGCCATTAAACGCTTGGCGGTCATGGGCGTATGTGTGCTTTAGGTTGCATTTTTAATCATTCTTAGCAATCTAAAGTGCTCTAAGTTTCCTGAATATGCCTAGAGAGATCTTTAGACATCTAGATCTCAAAGGCTTAAGTAATATAGTACCTGAACGGGATCAACAACCCCCCACGAAGACAATAACACCTTCTGTAGATATTAGATCTCGCGGAGAAATTGTGGAGACATCGGATTGTTCGGCCGCTGTGACGGACGAGGCGTATATCCTTGAAGTTTGGTAACCTAAGATTTCGAAGATCTGATCGGCTTTCTAGAAAAAGTAAAATGTTGAGTACTCCAAGAAATATCCCATGGGTCTAATGTACAGGCAAATAGAAATTTGCTCCGCCTCAATTGTGGATCCACTAATGTAGAATGATCTGTTCATATTAAAGAAGGAATGTCGATCTGGATTCAATATGCTTGGGCTTGATCAACTGAGAGTTTTGCAATTCTGGGACTACTATGTTGCATTTTGATGGATTTTGTGTTGTGGCAGTCGTTGCTCCCTTGTCACACGAGCTTGTGTAACGGTATTGATGTGAAGCAGTGGAAGTAAAGCGAGCTATCTTGCAATTCCATGGATATAATTTGATGTTATTGATTGTTTTGAAAATCCCTATTATATATATTATTTTTTTCGCTGATATACCAAACCAAAAATAATGAAACTATATCATAGTTACCGTTCAGATGAAATAAGAAGTAAGACTCACTGCAAATTTATCGAGATACACGGCAAGCGTATTAATATTGGAAGTTACACAGAAGCATCGTAGTATTAGTAGCGTAGATATATATCCTAGAAATTAGGTAGAAGAACCAGAGACTACGATAATCTATCAAGGTATATGCTTGCTGAGACCCCATTCCCCGCGTTCTGACAATTCTGTATAGCATATGTCTTCGAATTCGCGAAATATTAAACATCACAATACCAAACCGAGAGAGCCGTCCAATGCCTGTAATTAGATATGTATAGCAAATTTAAAGTACTGGATTACCGATACCAGGGGACTCTGCTGTTTACAGATGTACACAATAGCTGCACAGCGTATGCACCAGGTGCAAGCGCACTAGTGCGGAGCGACGGTCAATTGATCAATGTGTGTCTAGACGTCTACGGCTTGTGATGAGGACGCAATGAGCTTACGCTTATGAACATCGTTTCGATTGGATACTGAAAAGCTCTCCTAGTAATGATTTGAATTGAAAGGGACAAGTTAATGATATATAAAGCAGATATGGTCTCTGAGCCCGAGACTAAAGCAGATATATGAAAGAATAAGTTTTGAAATCCAAAAAGCCTCCCCAAGGCAGCGCTTGTAGTATAGTTAGTCATTAGCCTATTATGATATCCCCGTCCTTCACGGTACATATAACGTCAAATAAAAATCCGGATTCTATGATAATCCAGTAAAACTCCACGCTTATAAAAGCATCAGAAATGAACGCTGAAATGGCTTTCATCAAACAGGCATCGAAGCTCCAACCCGCACCAAACCCCTTCTATCGTTCACTCTATTCCCGTTGGCTGTTGCCCGTCTTTAGGTCTAAGGTCTTAGTCAATATATTCTTATTTAAGGTACTTCCTGCACTTGACGTTGACGATACTGGTCTTGCCATGCTTGCCTCCCTCGACCACCAATGCCGTCAACCTTCCACCTCTTACGCAATTGGTATCCAAGCCTTTGGTATACTTCTTGATGTCTAATCCTCTTCTCGCATCATGTCCGTAAACGACAGTCAACGGTTTTTGGCCCGATGGTCTGTTAGCCACAAACTCGTTCCACATTTTACTCCAATGCAGGCCCTTTCTTCCGGACGTAGGATGGTTCTTCACGAAAGTCCTAACGTTCATCAGGACGCTCGGTTGTTGATCCTTTAGCTCGACACCTGCCATGATCCCAGCGTGTACAACGGCGATATCACCGAGATTGGAGACGTTGTTGAGCTTTAGAATTAGAGGGCAGGAATCGATGAACTCGGCGTGGCGAGGCTTGAGGGACTTGGCGAGAACGAGGTCGGAGTGCTTGTACTTCTTCTTGTGCTTGTTCCTGTGCTTATGCTTCTTCTTCTTCTTATCCTTGTTCTTATGTTTCTTGTGCCTTTCGTCGTGTTCCTTATCCTCGTCATCGTCCTCGTCCTTGCTGTCATCGCTATCATCCCTCTTTCCGAGTGGTTTTTCCTTCTCATTGCTACCTTCGGACTCTTTAGCTGCCCCTTCGATCTCCTTGGTTTCAGAACCCTCGTCCTCCCCAATTTCACCACCGTCTGTTTTCGTCCGTAATTTCCAATAAACTCTCATAAGCTCATCTTCGTGGTTTCCTCTTACACAACTAACGTTCATTGAAATCAACGTATCCAACAATGCTACACTATCCGGTCCCTTCGAGATAAAATCGCCCGTGAGTATAATGTGTGCACGCTCTAGGAATCCTTTGCTATCTAGCTTCTGCAATAGCTCTTGGAACTCATCTAGCATACCGTGGATATCCCCAATGAAGATAAGATGTCGCTGGGGTTTTTGTTCCACTGGCGTCGGGATATATTCTGAAGGGAGATTTGATAATTTAATGTATGGCTTTAGTGGATTGAATGAGACCGAGGGCGTCGTAAGTAGATCGGCGCCATTTTTTCCGGATGTTGAGACTTTCTCCACATCCTCTGGACCTAGTGATTTGTCTTCGTGACAACTTCCTCCATAGAGTTTCTTCTGTCGCCAGACAATCATCTTCTTCACCGCTGAAGGTAAAAATGTAAATACTACGACCGCAGTAAATAACAACAGTAAGAATATATGTAAATGCCGAACCCATCTACTCCGTTTCTTCTTGACGCCCAAGGGACTCCGAGAGTCATGCCTCCGTGGAGAGAATTTCCCTTTTCTAGAGGTACTTGTGATTGCATCGTCCGAGTTGTTACTTTCGCTCAACGAAAGTCCAGGACTATTATTGCTACTGCTGCCTTCTTCATCTATATCAAGATTACGCTCTTCGTCGGAATCGACATTTGTGGCGAGCTCAACAGACAACTCTTGTGCATCGTCGTCATAGTCTTCTGTAGGTATCTTTTCGTATTTCATTGCGTCGCCCTATCGAGAAAAACAGAAAGGTCTAAACCAGGGTGTTGGTAAAATGCCAAGGATAGGGGTACATGTGTCGTTCCAGCGGCTCTTTTCCCGTCGACGGTTTTGTAACAAGTATTTTAGCTCAGGAAGCTTCTTTGTCGCTATATTTAAGGTTGAACAGAGAGAAACAAAGTCTGAGAGAGAAAAATAAGGGTCCAGACTCTGGCCGAAAACAGGTCGTTTGTGAACGGGAGGGAGTTTCGGAATTTGATAGCCGTCGAGAATTTTTATGATCGAATGATCTTCGTCGTCATACGCGGTGCGTGTCCCTCGCTTTGTGCTTTGCTTCGCCCCTGGCCCGGCAAGGGCGGCTTGCGCTCAAGTGATTTGCGAAAAAGGTAAAAATCGTAGGTTGTGGTAAGCCCGTGAGAAGTCGATCTCTCAAAGCCGTGAAACTTGGATATACTACAAGTGTCGGTCTAAAAAGAGTTCAAAAGAAAGGGGAGCTAAAGCTTTAAAGGGCAAAGACCAGGTGACATTGGAATGTAAAAAAATCAGTGAAAAAGATGCATGCATAAGAGATGTCTGAAGAAGAGCGCTCCAGCCGAGACTGTGATGCCATCTTGCGCTCTTGGCCGGGCCTTTCCTTTGTGAAACTACAACAGCAACACAGATACGACAAACGGAGTACGACGTTGGTATGACTATAAATTCGTATGCTTCGTGGGGGGTGCTAAACTATCTTGTGCAGCCCAAATCAATGTCTATTCTCGAAACGCCAAATGTACCTACTAGATTATATCAATATACTATTCCTGCTATCTAATTTCTAGATGCCCCAACTCCTGAAACTTTTATCTGGGCCTATACTTTACGAATGGCGACCCTAAATATAAAAACGTAAGAAAAAATTATGCTTCTTCAAGCCCGCTTCTCCTCACAACTTGGCGACCGCTTCTTTAATTGTTGAACCTCTTCGCCATCATCCTTCGCTCGTCCCTCAATCATCGCTGTGTCTTTAGTTTCGTCATCTTTGTCGTCATCGCGCCCTTCTATAGCCGGCATCTCAAGTTCCGGGTAGAGCCGAAGGTCACCCTCACGGCATGCCCAAGAGTCCACTTCTAATGAATCCGAGCCAATCAGTATTATCGCAACCAGAGGAACCAAAGCATCCCAAACTTACTATTAAGAACATATTTGGACCAAAGCCTTGGCGAAAGCTTCAGATGAATCGGAACAAAAAGGATAATTATTATAGGAAATGACGGTGCGGCTGGGGTGAAGGTAACACCAAAGACGATTCCGGTAATCACCAGCTGTGCAACAGTATACATGTGAATCCCCCAATAGTTTTTGATACCCTCCTTTGAAAGATTGGGTAGTTCACTTGGTGGCCTGATTATATCATTGTTAGATATTGATGAACCGTGGGGGAGAGGATCACTCGAGTACTTACGTTAAGATGTCGAAGATCCGATGTAATATTGGACTAGAGAATGGTCAGCAATTTTCCTTTTCGCTGAATAAGGTCCCGCATTTAACTTACTTAACAGACAGCGACTGCTCCCCCATGAACAAGAACAACCCCGCCAAAACACTCGTGGGCGTCAACCCGAGTACATGCATAAACGGTGGGCTTACAAAGGCCATGATACCCAAAGCATGTAGTAAATGGCTCCACCGCTGCTCATATACTGTTCGAGTTTTATTCCCCTTTTCGTCCACTTCATCGTGAAGCAAGCTCTCTGAGTGTAATGGCGCTTGCGGAAGTAGCCCATTTGCCGGTGGGATCCCTAAGATTCCACACAAACCAGTAGTAACCCCAAGCAACATCACATCCCAAGCGTAAGCTCGTGGTTTCTTAATGTTGTAACGTGGGAGGGTGGCACAAATAGTCGAGACCTCGACGTCAAAGAAATAAAGAGTCGTGACAATCAGTGCAGGGATCATGGCTGCGAAGATATATGCTATATCAAGTTTCCAAAACTCAACGAAAAATACGCTCCTCTCCGGGTGACTTGGCTTAAATGACTCTAAAAGTAACCATTGTTAGTCATTTCTCTATATAGACTCGTCATACATAGAAATACTTACTAGAAACATTCAGTGTCTGCTTGTCAAGATGCTTGAGTTCGCCTATTTGAGGCATAGCAATAAAAATAATGATACTTATGGCAGCGGCATACTCTGAAATTGCCATCCGGACGTAGCGATGGAAAAGTGGTGCCCAGTTATTCGCATTCGCGAGGAACACTGCGACAAGGAAGGTTCCGATACACCCAATAACAGAATATAGAAATGATGCAAACGACACCTTTTCATGATTCCTCTGAAGCTCCTGAACACTATAGATAACTTGATTAGCTTTGAAGAGACCCTGATATATTGTAGATTTACATACGCTTTATGGAAGTAGATGACTGAGTTCAGCAATGAAAATATTTCGGTTGAGAATGTCGTGACATATTTCATGGTATAGTCATGTGCATTGAAAACAGCGAGCAGAATCAACATCCACATCGAATGGATGCAAGTCCATGCCATGAAAGGGAGGTATGGGATCTATAGGTTTGCTTCTGTTAGGCTGTTCAACCACGAGTCTAATCAGGAACTGCGCGTAGGACTTACATGCAAGTTATGAATGCAGAGTTCATAAATCCGCTCTGCTAGGATACTGAAAGGTCCCGTTACCCCCAATATTGTTAGAGGTTGTGCCGAAAACCTATGTTCTCCAATGTCAGTTACATGGACTTAGCCAAAGAAAAGATTAGTGCAAGTGGACGGAAAGTGTAGCCTACAATGCGAATATAACACCACATAGTCCTGTCGAGAACACTACCTCAATCGTTCCATAATTCGAACCGGTCAAAGCATTCAAATCACTCGCGAATGTAATACCAGGCAATAAGTTCGTGAAAAATAGGAACACAGCACTTGCAAGAATTAATTGGTTAAAATGCCAATCAGTATGATAAATCGCCAGCCTAGCTCGAAATTCTTTCTTCATAAGCCTAAACGGCCTCAGGGCCCCAGAAGGCTTGAAAAGAGACGAGATTGTAAATCTTTGTGGTGTTGGAGAGGATGTCTGCATCTCCTCATCCATACTTGGAGGTGATGTGGGTACATCACCTCCCCATTGCGACGGTGGCATAGGAAATTCTTCCTTTGGGGAGGACGAATTGAATTGATCGCGTGACTGAGAGAGATTCCGGGGCGAATTGATTGCAGTCCTGGAGGATGACCTTGATGAATCGTTCTCGATTCTTGGGACTGTGAGGTTTTCTCTGTTGGTGCTGTGGGACATTTATATTAGGAATTATGGTATTATCACAACACCGAGGCTTTCTCGCTGGTGTCGTTTCAAAGTCGATATTTTATAAAAGGGCAGTTTCAAAACCCCGTAGACATCGAAAAATTATGAAATTAGTGATATTCGCGCAGATAAGCAATATAAGATAGCGACGATGTTATATTAGAGTAGTAAGGAATGTAGGCAAACGGGGCCGCACTTCCTTGAGCTCGAGAGGTCAGTTTATATGAAGTATGTCTCGATTGAAACTTCCTCAACCGCCTTAGATGCCAAGTTGGATGAAAAATATTGGCGTGATCCTGTATACGAGACGGCCTTAGCCCGTCGTCTGGTGATGTTGATTCTTGGATCCAGAATTTGCCTTGCAGCTGGAGCGCTTCCAAAATCCTGGACAGCAATCTGACATGGGAAGGAGCCAAGAGGAGATCCCTGGTGTATATACTATGACGCCAAACCCCAATAATAAATTTGTGCCTGGAAATATATTGCTATCCTATACTAAAGGCTGGTATGGATAGATATGCACAACGGGTGGACAACCAAAATGGATACGGTTTTGATGTTAGTTAAAAGGATAAACTCAAGCGAGAATAAGAGCGAATGAAAAGATGGCATGTATGCATGCAATAGGGCGTATATGCAGGACGAGATCTTGGTATGCTCGAGACCTTGGTTGCGATTGTTTAATCAATTGCTGCGCTGGTAAATTTTTTTGTTTTAGAAAAGCTTGGGCTTCATGACCACAGAGCTCGAGGCAAAACCGACTTTTCGATATATTCATGCATTCACATTAAGTAAAACGGTGGATTCGTGTTAGCCAATGCTCGGCTTCAGTTCGGGCACGTGGCATAGCCAAGCCCTTGAAATATTTCGAACTTGCCAACAATATGACAGCGAATTGTCTGTTTCATTAGAACGTTAACGAATATTCGAGATATGTTGAGAAAAGTCCATGTCGTCGAGAATTGCATGTAACGACTAGGCCGAAACCAGGGCCGGCAGTGGAATCTAACCAATAGAAAGCCGGCCAAGTCGCAAGGCAGACTGGTTGTTCGTGCAAGTAGATTTTGGTGTGACATCATCCTGGAATTCAATTCAATTCGAACCGATTCGAAAGCTCAGGGTCTGGCTGAGCTGCAAAAGCGTGCATGTAGGTGCTATGGCTACCTAGAAAGTGCTCATGCACGGTCCTCGATAGCTTTGGTGATATAATCGCGAGCGACGTTAACATTACTAGCATGCTGGAAATAAACGTGAGTTCTTGAACCCGGTCCTTCGACCTTCTTGCATTTGTCGACATTATATTTGTCGAGTCTCGTAACACCTACCGGGACAAGGTTCTTCCCGTCCATCTCGACGTTACGTTGCTTGGCAGACATTCTTTATTTGAAGATTGATACTGCGATATACGTATACATTAACATTCAGTTTATAATATTCCCTGCACTGTTTTTCTAAATACCGAAGTGACTTCGGCCTTACCTCGTTCCCTTCTAATCATCGTAAGTATCGGAGTACATATACTTAACATGCATATGCATATTTTGTAGTAGTTCAATATACTTAAACATAAAATGTAAAAAATTCGATCCAACGCAAAAACTACCACACGATCTCAAATTTAAAAGTCTCCATTGCATCCGCGGCCGCATTCATCCATGTTTCAGCCAGTCCAGTGTCGGCTACGATCGACCCAGGAACTCAATCAGAAGACCATCTTTTGGATGTAAGCCAAAGATCTCATACTTGGTCCAGTCTGCCTTGACAGCCACAATATCCCCACAATGGCTCCACTCGTCGCTTTCATCCCGCGGGCCACGTTCCCGCCCATCGAGTCTATCGTCAAATCCTACTTCCTTGGCCATCATAAATCCGGAATAACTAAAATGCGCCAACTTCTGGGCTCTGTTGAGCTTATCATTGAGTGTAGGGATTATAGAGTCCCATTGTCTTCCCGTAACCCGATGTTTGAAAAGAACCTTGTCGGTAGGGAAAGGATGATAGTGTATACCAAACGTGACCTGGGCGCTGAGAGTTTGGATGAGAAGGTATGCATCTGAGATATACACCTTTTTGATTCACGTAGTAGATAATTCTAAAGAATCGGTGCTAATATTTGAAAAACTCCTCCCTTGAGGATTAGGTTTATTTTGCTGGTTGAAATAGACACGGGAGACAATAAGACGCTGGCACAAACCTCAGAAAGTATTATTCACAGATTGCAAGTCAGACGCTGACATAAAGAAAGTGATAAAATATGCAAAAGGTATTTCTGAACCCCACTATCCGAACATCCTATAGCCTAGTTACGTACTAACTTACTATTTTCATATTAGATATCGCTACCTCGGTTGATAACGTACTGGGAACCCGTATGATGCTTGCCGGCATGCCCAATGTCGGCAAATCATCTCTTCTAAATGCCCTTCGACGTGTAGGAATGGGCAAAGGGAAAGCCGCAATAACTGGCGGTCAACCAGGTGTAACCAGGAGCATCGGGACTACAGTTCGTATCTGCTCCGATCCCGATATAATGCTCCTCGACACACCAGGTGTATTCATCCCATACGTTCCAAACACACAAACCATGCTGAAACTCGCTTTGGTGGGCTGTGTAAAGGATACATTGATAGACCCGGTTACTCTTTGTGACTATCTACTGTTCAGAGTTAACCTCGTCGATCCGACGTTGTATTCAGCGTATCACACTCCAACAAATGATATCACACAGTTGTTGACTGCGACGGCTATACAGATAGGAAGACTAGGAAAGGGTGGCGTACCAGATCTAACGGCAACAGCGATATGGCTTATACAAAGATATCGAGCTGGAGATCTCGGGAGGTTTATACTCGATGATGTGGATCTTGAAGCATTTGATAGAAGAATACAGGAGGAGGCAAGTGAAGGGCAAAGTGCCAACCAGCTGCGGAAAGAGATTAAGGCCGAAAGAGCCGCTCACAAAGCCTCGAAGGCTTCTACTATAGATTAATCAACCCCCCTCTCATATATACCCCCAGATTAACGAGCGTTATACGTGTAAAATATGCAATCTCATAAGAAATATGGTACATATCGCTAAAGGGTATCGGTTTCATCTATCATAATATCGAAAAAAAGGGTAGGAAGAACTGTATGAATCGGGGACTAAAAAATCCCATCCAACAACTTCTTCTTCCGTCTTTCTAGTAAAAATCCCATAACTTCTTCCTTCGTCGGCACCTTTATCTCTCCTGACAAAGCTTCCCACCCAGCCGGCGGCTCTCCTTCGCCTGTCTTCCCAATAGCTTTCAAGCTCTCCTCCTCTTTCTTCTTCTCATAAGCTAGTAATGTCCCATCCTCCTCGTCCCTATTAAACCCATAATAATTCGCATCGACATTCCTGCGAATCTCCGCCAAACTTCTCTTCTTAGCTTCATCAGCTTCCGTATCCCTCTTCGGCTTCAGCTCTTCAAATAGTTCCTTGACACCAGGTAGCTCCCTCGCTCTCCCAAAATATTTATATCCTTTATGCCCCGGTATCTCCCTCCCATTCTCATCTGTCGCCTTCCCAGCAAACCGCATATAATTCGGCCCACCCAAGTTCTTCAATTGAACCTCCCACATATGTTTCTCCCTCATCAATTTATTGATTTCATCGTTCAAATCGCGAATTTGGTAGTTCGATAAACTGGGGTCTTGGATCTTTGTCACTTTGCGAGATATCTCTTTGAGGACTTGACCGCGCCATTTTTCGCAGGATGGGATGGAAGTTATTTCTGTGATGCCCTTGGGACGACGGGTACGTCCTGCGTCGATGATTCCTAGGTCTGCGGCTTGTTGCTCGCGAAAGCGGAAGAGCATCGATTGGGCCTTTTCGGAGTTACGCGCCATGATTGGGGTATTTGTAGCTTAAACGGTTCTATTTTCGATAGGTATGAATTCGTATAACCCGACCGTTAGGTTTAGGGGTCTGTTTGGTAGCGTTTCGTGATGTGGGGTGTATGATTTATGTGTATGGATGTGTGTGTGTGGTGGAGTTTGAGTCGTGATTGATGTTAAGCTTTGAATGGTTCCTGGGGGACTTTTTCTGTCGCGTGGAAAGTCATCCTTGAACTCGACATCCACCCCAAATACTTATCCACCCGCTTGAGCTCACAACCACGACGATAAAGCTTGTTAAGCCTCATACAAAACATAAACTCTAGTCGCCGGAACGTCTACAAATCGCATATTCTATCAGATCACATTTATCTCTGCCCATCATGTCGAAAACCGACCTTCCGGACGCGAAGGCGATGCTGGATAGCAGAGGCCTCTACGATGGCCCCACAATACACTCAATGAATCCATTATTACTCATGGAAAAGATCATAAGGTCGGTTTTTCATATAACTTCTTTAAGTTACATAATTCTAATTATATTTTCTTATAGAGAACGTATAATCGACTCAATGTACTGGAAAGAACAAGCATGGGGTCTAAACGGTATATAAGAAACCATATTCCTGTCCGTTTGCCTATATCGGTGCTCCAAGGATACAAATCTAATCAACTGACTCGTCTTTTTCATATCCCTTATAGCTGCGACACTATTAGACAGAGCGGTAGAGCTACAGTTCATCGGTGGACAATATGCGAACCAGAAACCGACGCCGTTTATATGTCTTATTCTTAAAATGCTACAGTTAAACCCCGAAAGGGAGATACTGTTAGAATACGTACAAGATGAAGATTTTAAGTAAGTTCATATATCTTCTGGTAGTTATATTGCCTGTAAATTTTTTGGCGCTGATATGATGTTTAGATACCTCCGTGTCCTTGCGGCATTCTATATCCGCCTAGCCTGGCCTGCAGCCGAAATTTACAAAACACTCGAGCCGCTGATGGCAGATTACCGCAAGATCAGATTACGCACACAGTCGGGTTATAAACTGACATTCGTGGACGAATTCATAGACGAGTTGTTAACTAAAGAGCGGGTCTGTGATATCGCATTGCCTAGGATGCCGACTAGAGCACAGTTGGAGGACATGGATGAACTAGAACCGAGAGAACCGTTAGTTAGTGATGTTGATAGTGACGAGGAGGGAGAAGAAGGAGAGATGATGGAGGAATGAACTGATGTGGTGTGTTCGTGGTCGATGCATAGCAGGCGTTAAGTTTTGATACTCCAAGACAAATCTAGAATATGTCAAAGCGATTTTTTTTTTGGGGGGGGGCTTATTGGATATATTCCTTTAGCTGCGTGTACTATATACAAAATCTCTTAAAAGTAGGGGAATTATTTATACCCATCTTCACGAACGAAGAATATATCGATATCGATATCTATCCTACATCGTATCGCACAATCCTCGAATAAAATGCAAAATAGCGACTTTTTTTGATATCTGCACTCCGAAACGCCAATAACAGGAAAGAATGAGTCGGGTTATAGCGACCCGATGATACGAGTCCTCGAGGGCCGTCGAAGTATTTTGGCTTCTATGATGTCGGTGTCGGCTTCGGGGTAGATGTCGTCTTTGGTCCTCCATCTGGTATTATCTTGACCTTCTGCACCTTCTCGTACAATGCTCTATCCTCCTGCTGTGCCGGTATCCTCACAATCTTCCACTGTGGCTCAATCAATCCGAACTACATCCAAGTACGATGTTAGCTCCTACCCATAAAATCCATATCGATATCGTCAAGTCATAAAAAAAAACCTACCATAGCAAACAACCTCCAAACCGGATCACTAGGTTGTGCCCCGACACCGAGCCAGTACTTCGCCCTTGTAACATCCAATTGAATATCCTTGAACGGCTTTCCTTCACCGTCAGGTGCGGGTTTAGGGATCGGATCGTAGGTGCCAATGACTTCCATTGGCTTTGAGTTTCGTGCTGTACGAGCCTGAGAGACGACGATATTGTAGAGAGGTCGATTACGAGCGCCGAAGCGGGCGAGGCGAAGACGGACGACCATGTTTTGAAGACCCTCGAGGGAAAGAAGGATAGTCGGAATAGTACAAATCGGTTCGTATAACTTGGGGAATTTATCGACGTGGAATTAGGTAGTCAGTCAAAGTCGGAACCCGGTTCGAATTCTAAAAGCTAAGAAGGCTTTCTCGAAGAGAAACCCAAAACTCGGGTAAAATCTAATCTAATCTCTCGCATCTACGCCAAAACCTCAACCCAACTAACTACCACTCCCTTCAACACCACCCCGTCCCAAACGGACGTCACTTCCTCTCCCTCTTCTCCCCACCAATCACAAAAACAAAACATCACAATGCCTCTCCTCTACCCCCGCTTCTACCGCAATCCCTTCCAATGGGCCCGTTACCACGCCCATAACAACCCCGCCATCTTCTGGTCAATCTTCGTCGGCAGCTGGTCGCCTGTCTTCCTCTTCGCCGGACAGTTTCATAAACGCGCGCCGGAGGTGCCTGGAACATACCCTAGTACGACATCCCTCTCTCTTGCTATTCATACTAGCCTATATAGCGTAGTAGAGTAAAAGGTGCAATTAATTGACTAACTATATCGAATTGTTTATTTAGTCCCATCGGGGAGGCGAGTTATTCCACAAGGATACGATGATCCAGAATAAACGTCTAATACCGACTATGATGGAGGGAGCTTGATGGGGGGGTCCCATTATCTGGGGAATATATTTTTACTGTTTATATGGGATATACCTTTTTTATTTTTTGGGAGGGAGAATACCGGTGTACATATACAACGTCCGAAAAAATTACAAACATACGATACGAAACAAATCATCCAGCGGGGTGAATACAGAAGAAAATACACTTTGCCGGTGGCTTCAATGCAGACCTTTCCGTAAACACAATCTAGGGGTGCTTCGATTTCCAGGGAGGCGGGGGGGGCAATGGTCTGGATTAGGACCGATATAGGTTTTGAAGATCAAATTATAATGGAATGGAACATGTCTTGGGATTTTGATAAACCATTGTTCGAAACTGTTTTAAGAGTTAATTGAGGATAGCCATAGAGTAACTATAAAAACCATGGCTGTGCACTGCCTACACAACTATTCATAGCGTTGTTGATAGTCCTAGATCTCGAATACACAGATGTTCTGGTTCCGAGACCAGTTTATTTCCCAATTTATCATGACCATTACTATTAATAATATTGTATTCCCCGATGAAGCCTTTGGTAATTATCAAATCAAGCCGAAAGGGAAAAGAACGCATAAAAAAATGAAACAAAAGAGAAAAGGCGAAAAAACACAGCCAGATTTAACATACTATGCCCTTCCAATAAACACCCACCAGAATGGTACAAATAGGAAAGGGGGGGAAGGGACGTCCTCAGGTATGGAATAACAAACGGAGTTGGGGATGTGGGGTTCGGATATATCGATTTTTCAGTATCGAAGATGCAATAAAGAGAAGAAATGATAAGGGTAGTGTAGACAAGGAAGAAAAGGCAAAGAATATAGTCTTTCTCTATGTCTCTCTGTATGTACAAGCAGTAAGCGGGCAAAGAAGGGGGAGGGTAAAAGGATACACACTAAAATACAGGCCCGATTTCGCCTGTATGGTGAAGGGATGAATGGTGTTCAACCCAGTACTAAGTGGAGGTAATGCTAGAATCGTCGTGGTGGACGATTCGCATTGGATTGGTTCTGATAAATCAAGACCTGTGTATGTCGCAAAGTTGATAGGATATCACTAGTATCGAGGCATTTGTAACAAGGGGTTTCCCCTTCAGTGGTGGGTTCGCGGCCAAAAAAAAAGCCATTTCGGTCAGAGAAGGGTTTCCGGTGAGGACGCCCGATTAGTATCAGGTTCTCCTCCGTCTTCTTCCTCATCCTCCGGCGTAGTGCCCGACCCTGTATCACCGTTCCCGTACGCTTCATCTTTCATACACCTCGCACAAATACAAATATCAGCTTCAGGATCATCACGGGTGCACTCTGCCTAAGATTGCCCCGCGATGGGAACCGATTGTGTAGGTTGTGGGGTAGACGAAGAGGAAGAAGCGTTATCCAGTACGGAAATTGAGGATTCTTTTCCCTTCTTTGCTGCCGCTGATGTGCTGGCGCTCGCTTTGCCCCTGCCTCCCTTAGAGGTTTTACCGCCGGAGGCACCGGGTTTACTAGCAAGATCTTTCCATTTTCGCCAGCCTTCAAAGTCGATTAGAGCTTGCATACAGCCCCATTCCATGACTTTGCGCTCAAGGAAAGTGAAGTTCACGGGCTAAGAAAAAGATAGGTATTAGTTAACAATCGCTGCTGAGGGCTATGAAAGTAGTTTATATATCTTACCTTGGTCAAGAAATCATTGCAACCAACGGCAAGTGCTTCATCCCTATCACTTCGTAAGGATGACGCCGTCAAAGCCACAATGATGACAGAACCTTTAAACACCAGCGATTTGTCGAGTTTGTCTGCACTTGACAATTCATCTTCGGGACCCGAAGGGCTAGACGAAAATGAACCGATACCATTCAGCCGTTCTAATCTTCTTATTTCTTTAGTTGCATCTAGCCCATTCATGATTGGCAACTGGATATCCATTAGAACAAGCTGAAATCCGCCGGTTCTCCACTTCGTAACTGCTTCTCGACCATTCATAGCTGTAGCCCACCGAACTTTTAACCTCTTCATGAAAGCTTCTAAAAGCCTTAAATTGATAATGTTATCCTCAACAATCAGTACATTAATTGAGGGGACCTGTCCATCAAGAGTACCAATTGATGCGGTAATCTCTTTGGATTTCGGAGGCGGCCTGGTGATCGCGGGCGGCGAAGTTACAGCAGGTAACACTCCAGGACTTGCTGGTTTCTGTGGTATGGGCTTGATGATTCCTGGGGATGACGGTAAGGCCACCATCTGAGGCGGGACGGACGGCGACGTTGGAGCCTCCACATTAGTAGCCCTGATCCTATCGGGTACGACGCCTCCCGCTCTAGGAATCAGCATTACCCCACCACCTCCACCCCCTGGAGCCGAACTAGTCGTACTCCCGACCGGAGATCCAGTCGTCATCCGCACAGGCCCAGGCCTCTTAAGACTTCGATGCCCAGGCGATGAAGGAGGTGGTGAGTTGGCGATATAATTTGAAAGCGAACTTGGGTTGGCTGGTAAATTATGTGTCGATCTTACCGTTCCGCTCTGAGAGTGTGGTATCGAAGGAACGATAGTACCAACAGGTGTGAAATAATCTTCTCCGGGGAGTTGAAGATCGTGAACGGTCTGCCCATACGCGTAAGACATTGAGTGGGGGCCCGGTGACGGCCGTGGCGTCCGTGACCTCTGTTGTTGGGGTACTTCCACGATCAAGGCGTCTTCTGAGGTCTGTCCGTTGGGATAATAGTCGTCTAAAAGCTGACAAAGGACCTCGTCAGGGTTTAATAGTCGGTCCGTATGAGTCTGCATATTACCCATCTGCCTCGCCCTGGCTGATTGTGGTTTTAGGGGCGGTGATATCCTGATCATTAGATCTGGAGAATCATAATGTCTTCCCAAGGCATTGGTGTATTTCCGTAGGCATAGATCTCGGACCGTATCTACAAAATCATCCTCGGTAACGATGACCTGGGTTGGTGACCCACCAGGCCGTTTGACCCATACCTTACGGGTCCGTAGCTGATTCTCGCTATGAGGCATGAGACCCGCGACCGACTGAATATTTGAGCCACCTTCCCTTCCGTACGTAGTAGGAGAGGCCGATTCCTGCTCAAGCAGGTACCGTAAGAGTCCCGTGTCGGAAGGGTGTATCAACGACTGTCTCCGAGAAAATGAAAGAGGATGTTTCCGTCGCGATCCTGAAGATGAAAGAATTCTGGATTTCACAGATTCGTTTCTCGAGACCACGGACTCATTTCGAGCTAGTTCGGTAGGCTGGAATGTTCCTGTTTCTGAGACAGTGTGCAGGGTCTGTGCTACCTCTGCAGCAACAGGGACCACTGACGCGGGCTCTGGAGGATTATGAAGAAGCGGGCCGGTATACACTAAAGTTTCTGGACCATGCGAGAATGAGGATTCCCGTTTGTCTCGGAAAGGAGGCTCGACCGTCTCCGGTGCGATCGGTTCGTGGATACCAAGAGATGCCCGACTGCTAGACCGCTGCAATTGACTTAATGCACTCGAATCGGTGTCAGCACGAAGTCCAGAGGAATCAGTAGGGAACTGAGATAAACGGTAAGGACGAGTAAAAGGTGGTGGGAGGTTAGTTGTGTTGATGCTCAAGTCAGACGACCGGTCGCTAAGTTTCCTGGAAGGCGTACGACTGATAGTAGTAGTGGGAGCAGGAACAGATGTGGTAGTAATAGCAGCAGTAGTGGTCGTAGCAGCAATATTTGTCGAAGGAGTAGAAGTAGAAGGAACAGCAGGTGTAGTAGATTCTAGGATCACGGTTTTATCTGACGGTAAGGAAAGTGTCGAAGACTGTCCAGTGGTTGACGCTTTTGACGGAGTCCCTTCGGATGGTTGAATTAGAGCAGAGACAGAAGCAGCAGAGGCAGCGGTAGCAGCAGCGTTGGATTGTGGTGGTTGTGGTTGTGGTTGTGGTTGGAGGTTTTCATTTTCAGCTAGCGGGATTTGGGATGGAGGCCGGCTTTCAACGCCCACCAGGATGCCGTTCTTGTTCAACTTCAAGCTGTCTTTCTGGGAAAGAACGACGGGAAGCTCACAATTGAAGGAGCCCTTGTCGGGAGCAGCTGTCGATGGAGATTCGATGGAGCCGGTCGTGTCGGTTAGTGGTGGTGCTGGAGAGAGTTCGAGTGGCTTTGCAGTGGTATTCAGAAGCTGTGGCTGAAGACCAGTCCCGTCCTCGAGGTTATCGAACTCCTTGCCGGCACTTCGACGCTTAGGCGCTGTTCCGCCCTCGATCACGATATCGCCATTTGCACTGGCAGTTGGATTTGCATTCCCGTTCCCACTGATAGAGGTCGTGTCGAGGTCGGTGGTAGTATCAAAAGTCCTGTCGCTGGGAGCCACTAAGCTCTGGTCGGATCTCGATGGGTCCCTTCCAATGAGACTGTGTCGTTTCGACTTCCTGCCCCAGCTGCCCTCACCGCTCCCACCGCTACCCGTCTCCGTCCCAGTTCCAGGTCCTCCCTTAGCCGTCTTGGATGGTCGCACGGCCGAGGCCTCCTCAGTCGAATCCTTGCTATCCCTCCGTAGCAGCTTCGTCTTCGTGCCTTTGATCTTGTCCCTGAACCCGCGCATTCCTTTGACACCTCTCAGTTTCGTGGCCGCTGCCTTCCATAGGAGCATTCGCGGGAACAGAAAGAGATGGGTGCCGCGTTTGAAAGGGCTGGCAGGCTGGCAGGCACGACCATCTGAATGCTGGGCCCCCAGAATTAAATTTTCTTAATCTTTTTTTTTATTTTTCCTTTACTTTTTGGGGGGTGACCTTGTGTCTTGTGTTTTTCCCTTTCCCGGTCCGGTTATGGGGGGGTTTTGGTGGCTGTACTCCCTTTCTTCATATAGTTAGACGGGAGCAGGGAAGTTGAAGACGACGAATTCGAAGGCGAACAGCATGCAATTGGGTAAGTATAGAATAGAATAGAATAGGGTAGGATGTAAGAAGTAAGTATGAAAATAAGTGCTATGCTATGCTATCCCGCTGTGGTATTGAATGGTTATGCTATGATGGATGATGTCCGAGGTATGTATGCATGCATGCATGTAAGTAAGGTAAGTATGCGGTAAGTAGGTAGGGAGAAGGAATATAATAGGATATTCGATGGTTCGGATTGTATGGTACGATATGATATGATACGATACGACACGATACGATATGAGATGACAATATGATATCGATGTCACTGATATAAAATAAAATAAAATAAAATAAGAATTCCACCAGTTCAGCTCCGATCCAAGATAAATCAAAGAAGTAGTAGATGTCGACAAGGAAAATTAAATTAAAATAAAAAATATTCGAAACCGAAATAATATAATATGACAGCACTTGATTGATGCACAACGGGTGTGCGAGTAAGCGATGTATTAATTATATTAATTGCACCCGGCCTCCTCGCCTGGGAAATACGATCTCTGGCTTGGTGGAAAGTACATGTTACCGTGTGCTGTCGGCATGGGCTTTTTCTGCATCGAAATTTCAAAGGACCAGGCCAAATTACCGTTGCTGCCTTGGAGGTTTCGGTCTGAGCTGAAAGTGCCACACTTCTTGCCGTGCGTTGGTCGATGCAAGGAGTGGCTGGTACTTACTTACATGGTACCGACATGATATAAACTTTGGGATGTAAACAGGGCGAGACGAGACGGTTCGAATTCATCTGAGGCGGGTTAATGTTTGTATCCCATGGTGATGTTTATATTTATATATACTACTTACTATACTTAGTACTTAAGTAGTAAGTAGTAAGTAGTACACATGTATCTGCCTGAGTTTGTATGTGTGGATGTGTACTAGTGCTAAGTACCCGAGCACAATGCAATGCAAAGTATACATACTACTAGTACAGTCGACTCGAAAAAGAGTTCACCAGCACATCAAACGGTTACCTCTTACCAAGAAGTAGTACTTAACTAAATTTTAAAATATAATCTTCGTTAGTATATACCTGTAACATACTATCCAATCTAAGCTTGGTCTTTGCCATGGACTGTCCTGTGGCGCATACCCGCATGCAAGGGAAATACTCCAAAAATACTTAAAATACAAAACCCCTCGGCACCCCAGACGAAGTCTCAACCGAATCGAGTGCTATTGGGCCTTTCCGTCATGATCTTCAGCTTGCTTGCTTGCAGATTTTACCCATCAGCAAGACATCCAGTCATTACACGGACAATTGGATTGCCACATCCAAATTTGACACTTAAGCACTTTGATCCTCGCCTCGCCTCCGGATCCCCTTGCTTTGAATCCCTTGCCACCCATGTGGAAACCCACTCGTTCGGGTACATTCTTAATTCCTTTGTATGTTGTTGTTATTGTTGTTAATCAACATGTTGTTGTGGTTGATGAAGATTCAATTCTGAAACATGTTGGGGATGTCGGTGTCGGTGTCGTCGAATCAGATCCCGTCCGTCACAAGATTCGTGAATGCAACCGATCTCAGGGATCGACCTGAACATGCAAACATTGTGGATTGCAGACGTAAGCTTCGATGGGATGTGGTGGTTCAAGGCGTGCCCAGACTCGAGGCTGTGAACTTAAGTGCTTAGCTTAGGTAAATAGTAAATGCTGCACTCTTGCTGAAAGTCGTCCGAGCTGGATTCGGGTGATGGCCAGCCAGCCAGCCATTTCTTTTTTTTTTTCCTTTTCAAAATAGATACATTCGGTTGCATATGTGAAGTACCAGCTTGGAGAGTCTTCGTTCCAAACACTGATCGCCCTTCAACCACGTTTTTGCGGGGATTTATAGTAAGCGATTCTATATCACATGAGTATCGCGAGATTGTCACGATTACATTCATGCATTCCTCAATTCGGTATTTTCGAGATTTGACTGTAGCTATAGCTATAGCTATGGTTATAAAATATATGTTAAATTAAACCCAGCCACGGTTTCCCCCGCTATTGAAGCCCGTGTCTTGAATAATTATAACAATTTGGGAGGGAAGGTGAGTAGGCGGGCGCCGCGGGCTGTGCCGTCGTCAAAGTTGGGGTTCGAGTCTACAAAGCTGGAGTATATAAAGATAATGGGAGCATCAATTATCAATCAAATATCTGTTTATAAAATTAAAATTTATATTACGTTTAATTAAAATCAAGGTATTGAACAGCAGACTATACCTAGAAGATAAACATTCTTTGAAAAGACCTGCTTACGTTCGCAGAACGATAAATAAACATCTACAAGCCGGTGAGTGTGGAATATAAATCTGATGAATAAGTAAGTAAGTATTTACCATGGATCTATAGCTGACAAGAAAACCACTTCCCCAAAAGTCCCAGAAGGCCCAAAAGGGAATCCAGATTAGAACCCAACATGGAAAGAAGACTCCCCCCATCACCCTACAAACTCATAACATGGAAACACTCAACCGCATCCTGGGCATCCACCTTCTCCCAGCACATGTTCGACTGTATAAACGACCCAATGGGAAAAGGCTTCGAAGGCACCCTGCAATACTTTCCAGACTACTGTATCGAACTTCGAGAACACATCACCAAAATCATCGATGAAATCAATTCACACCCATCTCTACTTGGCACGGGGTGTAAATATTACCCTATAAAAATCAATGCTGTAGACGGGTCTGGAAGGTCTATGGACCCGGGAAATGGGAAAGCGAGGGCTTGGGTATTGCTTAAACTGGCGAATATGTATGATATATTTCGGGAGGCGGGAGGCAAGGGATATGAGAAGAGCGAAGCTGAGGAGTTACGGATAGCGAAAGAGGGTGGTGATGCCCTACCGGGGTATAGCGAAGGAGAGGGTTCGAATTATGCATCATTGTTCCAACGACCCTCGAAGAATTGATCGTAAGAACTTGGTTTTTGTTCCTAGAAACATACTTCCTTCGCTTTGCTTGATGGTTAATGAATTCAGGTATTTACGTCCGGGGGTGCATTGATATATAAAATTCAATTTGATGTGTCGGTTCTTTTCTTGTACTTCGTTTTGGAAGTGGTAATTTTGAATGTCATGTTTTATGGGCGTCCATCACGATAGTGTAAGCTATAAGCAGAGCATAAAGACATATCCATTCAGGCAAGGGCGCCGGTTCGTCTCCATGCAGGGTCACAGGAATTCCTGTGGAACCATAAGAGAACACTTCCAGCCATTCGCAGTACTTCCGTATCTTCAAAGTAGGTGATCATTGCCAGGGCCGTCATTGCATGGTCATACTGCGAGTGCCCTTACTCCATGTTCCCCAGTTTCGTCCGTGTTACATTACATGCACAGCACAGCTAGGAGCTAAAATACTAGTTCGGACTGAATTACCAAAGCAAGCTTCGGTCCAACTTGTTAAACTATGATCCTATAATATTATGTTGCAAAACTTTGGTGATTGGGAAATGTTTGTTTTGTTGGACGTTGGAAGTCATAGCGGATTCGTCTGTAGTTCTACTGGGAGACCCAGTTATCGATAGTTCAGGGTCGAGAAACACCGTCTTTGGTATAGAGGAGTCGCTGACTAAACCGGTTCTGGGATGTTGTATTGGCCCGTTTGTTAAGCTGGCTTATGCATCAACTGCGTTGAAGTCATGCACTATCACCATAATCAATCTAGACGAGTTGGAGCTGTTCCTGATATTCAACCGGATACAGTCTAGGAGGTATTCTGGCAACCTCGTATATACGTATACCTTCACGTGATTGTCACCAGCTAGCTGCAGCTTGTGCCTTTGAGGAAGTAATTTTGAGGACGGCTTTGTTGCAGGTGGTCATATTGAGTAAGAAAATGAAGAGACGAAAACAGTCGGAGGCCTTGGGTTCAATCTGGCACATCTTCCTGTTAGGCGAAAATAAAAATAAAAAATATAACCAATTGCATATTACCTTGCTCTCGATTCGAGTGCCGAACCTTGCAGCCATGCATCCTGTTGCATGTTGGTGAGGAATGATCATCAAGAAGACATTCTCACTAGGGATTGTATTCCGTACCAATCTGGTTGCAAAGGAGCTGGCTCCGAGACGACATGGAGCTTGCCAGCAGCTAACAGGAAGCTTGAGCCGCAGCATGAACCCCGGGATTTTCAAAGGGGTATTACGTTTTGAAAGGATGTTGCCTTTGCAAGCCGAACTGACGGAATCTCCCTGAAGACCCTCACCTATAAGCACGTTATCGGCAAACCTATCGATTTAATTCCCTCGAGAAGAAAAGACATGTGGCACCAAATGCAACTCGTTTTCTTCGAGGACCCTAAGCTGCTTCATAGTAGCCCAATGGACAGGGGATATGAAGGTGAGAAAGACAAGACGATCAAGTGGGAAGGGGAAAAGGAAAAACCCTGCAATGAAGCTGGGGAGCCAGTCGCTGGGATGGCTCAAGCGAGTCCACTTGATTGGTCTCTGGGAACGCCACTGGACGCCAATTTCTCGAATAGATTGAGTAGATTGCTGGGAGCTGGCACGGCCGACGGTTGGTTTTATTGGATGGAATTTACCATGCACAAGGTTTTGCAGCAGGGTGGACTGCGAAAAGGAAGGTGGGGACCTGTGCATTGGGGAAAATGCTCATGGTGGGGGCACCTCGTCGAAAGCTTCTCCTCGACAGCATTTATCTCATGTGGATTATTAACGTATTCATCAATGCAATGAAGAAGTGGGTTCGGTTATTTGGGCCAACGGTGATTCGTGCAGAATCGTGCTTGAGATTTGCAGTTTTTTTTCTCTTTTCTGCAATTCTGAATAACGAGGAAGAGGGGGAAAAAAGGTCACCCGGCGGCTCCGTGACTCGCGCACATGGCAAAAAATGAATTTCGAGGGGTCGCAGACGTACGAAAAAAAAAAAAGTCGATCGATTATTCGTCGTCGGGATATGCGTCCAGCATCAGGAAATGAAGGATGCCTTGTTTGGGTCCTGATAAAGCAATAGAATTGCCCATTATACCTGTTGACATATATTGCTCCCCTTCCGCCAGCAGGATTTTGGAAAGAATCCGATGCATAGCATGGAGCCGTTATGTAGCCTCGATGTAGGGTTCGAGGTTCAAACTGTTTAGGACTGGGGTTGGAGATTTGACGATGGCTGTGAGAAGGGCATGGGGAATTTTCCTGCCTGCAGATGCATGATCTCTGCCCCATGGCCAACTTGAACTTGTCGAAATGGATTCGAGACCAAAAGTGGATCAGGATACAAGTCTATATCGCTCGGCAGAGGTTGGCTCACGCTGGTTCCGAGATTTGGTCGTGGCTAGACCTCGGGAAGTGCGACATCGAGCCAAAACGGTCCTGAACAGAGGCTTTTTGATAAGCAGTGAGAGCCTTTGCTCATGCGACACCTTCCTTGTATCAGAGCAGATACAACTTTGATATCTGATATGAAGTGCCGTTATCAGTCAGGTATCCCACTAGCACGAATTACCTACTGGATACTTAATTTCGCGGCGGAATAACACCCTGTCGAGGTTGGGTCGAGACAGAGAGTCTCTGTCGGGATCTTACTCCTGGGTGGGTTCTTCCTTGGAAATTTGCATATTTATCCGCCACCGTGCCAGACGTAGGTACACGTACTGTACCTCCACGCCCGTATCGCGAATGAGGAGGCCGGCTCGACATCATTATGTCTTCACAATAACGTCCACTCCCGTCCATCGTTTTTGACAGCGGCTTGCGGCTAAAGGGATGGGACAAGACCTCAATCTATTGACCGGGATGTATCGGTGTCGATGTCGAACCAAAAAGAAGTAAATGCCACCTGGAAGCGAAAAGCCAAAAGACGATCCAGACCGGGATGAACTAAAACAAAAAAATGCAAAAAGGATGGCGTCGCCGATAGGACTCGAACCTATGCCCGCGAACGGAATTGATATCAAGAGAGAACGAATGTCTTTCTAGTCAATCGCCTTAACCACTCGGCCACAGCGACTTTCATGTCGAGATGATCTGGAGATGTTTATACAAAGCAACTGGTTTGGGTGTTGGGTGTTGCGAAAGACGGCCGATCTGAGGCCTCCTTTCTGTGTGACAAGATGGGCGAAACTGAAACCTCAGCAAACAACCAGAACCAACGAGACCAACGGAATAAATGCACGGCTATGATGAGAAAAGAAGAAAACCTAGTCGATATCGAAGCATCGTGAAACATATCTGTGGTATGTATTGCATGTGTACTTACTCAAGAAGTATGTGTCCGTCCATGCTGGTGATTGCCATGCTCATTGGTACACACCTGCGCAGCGCTCGAACGTATCACGGACGACCATTAGCCGTTGGCGACACTCCCTGAGCCCTTCTTTATAGGTTAACTAGTGAACATGGGGTCCGGCAGTGGATACATATCTGTAAGCTTCCAGACTATCGATGTATGTACCAACCCGGGATGGTTAGCTGCACAGCAGCAGCCTTCACTAGGCGGGTCCCGTCTAAAATGAACGAACGGCCTGCAACTAGCTAAGGTATGTTTCCTTTTTTTCCCTATGGTCTTCCGATGCAAAACTGCCCTGGCTGACGCTGGACTTGGTATATCTAGTTTAAACCGCACGCACCATGAGATAGTTTGGTTTAAACTTGGGGATAACTGAGTAAGTTGGAGCGATAGGATCGTTCCATCTTTCTTCGCCATTGAATGTTGAATTTTGCATTTTGAAGTGCAATCAATGGGATATGTGAAGGCAGATTCGTATGGGATGTCTGCTTATCATCTCAAGACCTCAAAACATCCCGCGCCCGTTTGAACCAATAATGGCCCGCCCTGCCTGCCTGATGCTCAAGCTGCCGTCCTTGAGAACAGCGAGAGGCGAAGTGAGATATCGAAGGGGATGACCAAAAAAGAGAGAATAGAACTGAACAAAAGAAAAGAAAAGAAAAAAGGACCCGAGATGGAAGAGGGAAGCCATATTCCCCCATCTTAGATTCCCTTCCAGCCAGCACACCCACTTGATTAACTGCACCCACCACCATAACCTTGCCCATAGCACTAGTCTGATTGAACGGGCGTCCTGTAGGGACCAGGCCGTTCTCGACATCCACCCCGTTGCTCAGTTCTGCTCTTTCCCTTCGTTTCTCTCCCACTTTCTTTCGGTCCTTCCCTTTGACATCTTTTCCTCCTCTTTACAGTTGGTTTTTCTGAGGTCGTTCATTCTCTTGTCAAATCTTTTGCCCCTCTGTCACGGTATATCAAGCAGCGATTGAATGAGGGGAAAGGGGGGTCAAGTCCCTGAACTGTTTTTCTTCTTCTTGTCCACCACTCTCGATTGGCGCGCGTGTGGACCAGAGCATAAGGTCGCCCGGCCTGCGGTTTTTCTCGCTTCTGGCTTCTGTTAAACTGATCAGCCAGCTTCCCCTTCTTCTTTAACTCGACTACCCTCCCACACATCTCAACGCACTCCACTCTCACACATCTGGTCTTCCCACAGACTCTCCCTCTCTTTCCTCCTCCCCCCCATTGCCTCCCTCCAAAAAAACCCTATCCGCCCACAGAACTTCAAAACGTAGTTTATGGGAATCCGTCTATTCCAGGCCCTTCCTTTTCAAACCAGGACCGTTATTCTTGGGTGGCCATCTCTTCAATATCCTCGGTTATCATTTCCATTTTGTCTAAGACGTATAACGCGCGCGACGTTTTCTAATCAAAGCATCCCCAAGTCGTCCTCCGAAGACGACCAGAAACTCTATTGACCTCAAGCATTTTTTGGCCTTCACGACCTTGCGCTTTGTTCTATTCATATCCAGCATAGTTGACGGGTGCATCGCCTCTTTGCGCTCTTTTTATTTTAATTTTCTATTTCCACGGGTTTAATTTTGGACTTTTCGACCAGCATAGCATATTCACATCAAAGCAAAGGTTGCACAGCATACTCGGTTTTTAGGTCTCATACTAGTTGCATATCTAGAGCGTTTCTTTTTTATATTCTACTTGGATCACACCCCTCCTCATCAGTACGACAACTTTTACAGCCTCCATTTTATCCATATCGCTATTCCTTCACATTTGGTTATTTCTCTAGTTCGCACCAGGAGCCTTCTTGTCCAAAAACAGCCTACCCCAAACAAGAAACTAGCCAACCTCATACCCCTCCATCTTGGGCACAATTTACTTTCCGAGACCCGCAAGATCAAACGGAAACTCTGTTGGGAATACCACCTCGACTCGACCTCACGTACAGGAAATCTCAGAAAGAATAGCACTCTATATAGCAATCCGGACAAGCAAAGGATCTCCCCAAAAACTCAAAATATCAACGCCACATTCTGTTTTACTCGACTGCTTTCGCACACATTTGCTAAAGCTTATATAACGACTTTTGTTTGGGAACGGACTTTGGTGCATAGCGCTGGTTTTCTTTCTTTTTCGTTCGGCAAGAGCAAGAGCTTCAGGGTCCCGCCTTTGGACTTATATCAACCAATATCGTTCACCTCAGTTCAGATTTCACGAGCCAGCTCCAACATTTCTCTTGCTCTCGAGCCTTGGAAATACGCGGAGATTCTTGGTCCCCAAATCTGAGATATTTAGTAGCCTATGAACTGCCAAAGTTCATAGTCCAGCCTTATCCACAGTATTCCTTCGCTTTTAATCCAATTTTTATGTATCATTCATCGATCAGGACATTTTACGCAACTTCTTTCGAAATATTATAGCACACCGACAACGCAACTATAAGCATATTATCACATTCCAAATTGCTAGGGCATTCAACTGCAGTTATTTTTGACTTGCTCCCCACACGCAATTTGAAAAGCGGAGCCTGTTAAGCGCTCCATCGAGTTATTGCATAAGTTTCCGACATTGGGTGTTCCTTGGCGTTTCCCTTTTGGTTTCGATCCTGCCCGACAAGGCGAGCGTATCATTTATAGAACAGAAGTCTACTGTCACTTCGGCATAAACGAATCGGCCGTTTTCTTCTGCATTCATTCGGTGAGCAACTTTCTGCATGCGAGATTCTTGAGGCTCCCACACGGCACGAAAAACGTGGCTGTTCCGTAATTAGTAACTAACGATTTGTTATTGCATTTTGCATGCATAGCTCCTAATAGGTTTTAAAGATATCCGTTTGAAGCTTTGAGTGCTTGATTCAACCGAGAAACCGAGAGAATAAACACCTCTTTCTCGTTGATAACGAGATCAAACGTGGTAGAACTCAATTGGTGTGAGGAAGCAATTGAGCAGAATATATAACATTTTACACACTAATCAATGGCTGCAGTGCTGCACCTCTCAGGAATGTCTGGAAGTTTGAGTGGCACGACTACTCCCTCGTATGAGTTCCATTCTTCGAGGGGCAGGGAGTCTATCAGCTCAGGATCGTCGCAAGCTTCCCCACCTGCCACGGGCCACAGCATGATTTCGCCTTTTCCGTTCGAAAACAGCATATTTTCATCCAGAGGCATTTCCCCAGTACCCGAAGAAGGCGGACTACCCGTGGTCACAGAAGCTCAAGGCGAGCCTCTAAGCAATGGCATGACGGAATCCATTGTTATCATCCTTGGACTTCCCCGACAAATCACGGATAGGGAACTCCGTAGTATCTTCATCTTTGCTAAGGATTTCGTAAACGTTGAGCTTATTCCGGATAGTCCTCTTGATGGTGGATTACCACCTCTTAAACGTTCCGCGGTAGCACGTTTCCGTAGCTACCACTCTGCGCAGGAAGCGAGAGACCATATCAATTCCAAGAGAGGGGAAATCTTCGAGGGTGAAATTTTGCAAGCGACTATTCCAATCAACCAGCCACAGACCATCTTGACTAGCCGGCGGAACACTACCGATAGTGCTTCCCGGCCCGCGTTGCTTTCTGCGTCCGCCGCATCTTCTATCGCCTCGTCAGCTGGGAGGAGTCTCGGGAAGGCACAGGGCATGCAGGCGCCATTCTCGGCTACGGAAGCTATCATCCCTCCTGCCGGATTAATTGGAACACTCCCCCCGAGCCTTGCGACTGCTTCTCTAGGCGGACTTGGTGGTTTGGGTTCTCTACCGAGCTCTAAGTCTTTCGGCAGCAGCTCTAGTGATTATAGCATGGGGCCTAGCCCAGAGTACATTACAGATGCCTTCCCGAATCTCCCAGTGCGAACGCCCGGCTCTGTGGGGACATCTAGTGGGAAAGCTTTGCTCATGGAAAGCGAGCCAGATGCAAATGAGGAATACGATACCCTCTTGAGCGATCATTCTCGTTATCTTTACAATAACTCTTCAGCACTAGCCTCTGAACCAGGCCTCTCAGCAATGCAAAAGCCAAGAAGGTCGACAAATCCCGCCTCGATGGCGAGTCGATTCTCCCAGCTCTCGCTCAATACAAACAACTTGCCCCCTCTTGCTGGACCTATGATGGGATCCCCTGCAGCTATGGCCCCTGGGAACGCTAGCGCCCTTACTTCGCCGATTTCAATACCAATGTCCGCAACAACAGCCACACCGATGCAGCCATACCAGAGGGTTCTTCCCGCCGCCAATCCTGCGGACCAAAATCCACCTTGCAATACGCTTTACGTTGGAAACTTGCCAGCGAACACATCGGAGGACGAACTCAAAGCATTATTCTCCCGTCAACGTGGTTACAAGAGGCTCTGCTTCAGAACGAAGGCGAATGGTCCTATGTGTTTTGTCGAGTTTGAGGACGTTGCATACGCTACTCGTGCACTTACAGAATTGTATGGCCGTGGTCTCTCCAACAGTGTCAAAGGCGGTATCAGATTAAGTTTCTCCAAAAACCCTCTTGGTGTCCGATCAAACCAAAACCCGGCGAATCTCCAATCTCCAACGACACCCGCGGCTGGAGGCGGAGCCGGCGCTAACGGCTTGTTCTCAACGGCCATGCATGCGCCACCGGGCCTTCCACATCCCGGTGTAACCCCAGCTGCAGTAGTGCGATCGAACCCCATGGATGCAATCCCTCCACCCCTAGCCCCACTTGCAACCGCAATCCCACCAAGGGATCCTGCCTACGCGGCTGCTACACCCGGGGGTCTTGCATACCGAGAGTCAATGCTAGCGTCGCCAATCAGCTATAATGCTACGACACAGTCAGCATTGGGGTTCACGCCTGTAACCTCAAGCTCATCAGCAAATGCATTTGCGACACCAATTGCACCCCCCAACATACCTGGTTTTCTAGTCGGCAAATAGCATTAACGATATTGGGAGTCTCAAATACTGGAAACTTTTTTATTACCATCCATCAATTCGGGGTTTCGGGAACAACATATACATTTAAACGGATACAAAACATAACCCCGCGTGTCTTGATAATATGGGTGCATAAGGAAATGCTGTTTTTCTTTTTTCTTCTTTCTGTTTCGTGCTTAATCTTTTATTCTTCACCGCCTTAGGGATTTTTCTCGCCTTTGATATTCAAACTCCACACGATCACCTCCTTATTTTATATGGAACTCAAGACCTTATACACACATTTAGACTTGGTGTTCTTTGATTTTTGCTCCCACCTTTTGTATTGGATCATTCACATTCTACTTCTAACCACACCTCTTGCTCTCCCATTCACCAATCATTGAAAGAGATTCAAGTCTCAATACCACAGCTCCCTTATTTTACTTTTTGTTAATCTGTTTATTTCCGTCTAGCATGTTTAGGGTCCTGTGATGCTGCGTTTGTGATTCCCTTTGAAGTAACGACTGGGAGGCGTTTTATTTCCTTTGACTCTTGGTTCTCGAATCTCTACTACCCAACGTTCCTAAAACCATGCTTTTCAAACTCTTATGACCTCTTTTTCCCCCTTCTCTTCTTTTTTCACTTCGCTGGAAGCCAAATACCTTTTTATCTTTTCGCTTCTCATGACCTATTCCAGAACCCGCATTTTTCTTTCTAATAGTAGTTCTTACCTGCATCATTTAACGGGATTTCTGTACACTCGTTTATCCGAGATTCGATTCATTACCACTCCTTTTTTTCGTTTTTGATTGGCATAGCTTGGGCCGTTTTGGAGGTTGCTTTACTTTTCTTTATACTTGTATGGCTTGGGGCTGGTTCATTAAAAAATCTTTTTTTTTTTTTTTTTTTTTTTTGATAATATTTGAGAATTGAGCTTTGATATCCTTGAATGAACTAATGACTCCGAGAGTTACAAATATCGCTGTAAATGTGTCATGTAATCGTATTAGTATATATGTAGAGGATTTGTTACAAGAAGTGGTTTACTCTTCTGGCATTATAATGCTGGATACCAGCACTAGCAACATTGAGATAAAGCTTTAATTAGGTATAGGTAAATATGGGTATTGGTGGGGTATAGGCATAGATATGTGGCTTATCGCGATTTGGATCTCTCCCGTGAGTCGCGACGTTTCCTGTGATCCCGGGTGTCGTCATCTCGATATCTGCGATCCTTCTCTCGATGCCGGTCATCATCTCGACGGCGACGGCGTCTATCCTCATCTTCATCATCGCGACGTCGCCTTTGCCTGTTATCGTCACTGGGACTTTCTCCCCGTTCGCGATCTTTTCTTGTTTCCTGAGGATCTCTATCTTTATCATCCCTGTCTCGGGGCTTGTCATGACCTCTGTCTCGATGATGCTTGCGTCTATCGTCACCTTCATCATCCCGGCCTCTGTCTCTGTGGCTGCGATGTGACCGATGTCTATGTCTATCCTTCTCACCACCACCACCACTTTCGTCCCTATCATCTCTATTATGCCGCCTTGAGCGATGATCTGATGAACTCTTTTTGTCCCTTCTCCTTGAGGGTTTCCGCGCCTCTCGTCCAGCCCTTGCCTCTTCGATCTCCTTTTTCTTTTCCCGTATTAGATAATCCTTCATCGGGTCATCGTCATCGTGATCTCTTTCCAACTTCGCAAGTTCGCGATCCTCCCGCCTTCTCTCAGCGACCTCTTCAGGGTCCAATCCACCATTCTCATCCTCATCCTCGCTCTCCTCTCTCCTCATTCGTTTACTCCTCCTTTCATCTTCCTCATCATTTCCACCACTCCTCCCTTCCTTTCCGATCTTCAACCCTTGGAATGCCTCCTCTGCCCCATCACCTTCCTTATGTTTATACTCGGCATGATCGACTCGAATCGTTCTTCCCAGTACAACAGCCCCGGTCAAATTATCCACCGCTAAATTCGTACTCCTTTGATCTTCATACTTTAGCCATCCGAACCCTCTGCTTTTACCAGTATCCTTATCGCGCGCGAGGTGGAGGTGTACGGGTTCACCGTATTGTGAGAAGATGGCGATTATATCACCTTCTGAGAGTTCGTAGGGAAGACCGCCGATGAAAACGTAGGCAGTGTGACGGTAGTCTTTATGCCAGGAGGCGGAGTCGGGAATGCCATTGTCGATTTCTTGCCGTGTTAGGGCGAGGGTTGAGCGGATTTGGTTCATGACTGGGAAAGGGTTTTTGGGAGAGATGGAGCGAGGAAGTCGCGTAAGGATTGAGGATTTGGTGGATTTGGCTGTGTTGGTGATGGTGTTGTATGGTGTCGCAGCTGGGAAGAATGCAACACAAGTGCAGTCCTGCTTCTAGGTATAGCTAAGTTCTGCCTCTCAGCTCAGTCAAAACAGAGGGCTCTGAGGTTTAATCCAAAGTTCAATGGCGTAGGTCTATTAGTATGCCTTCTGAGCGGTAGGTAATCCGTCTATTTCAGTATCAGTGATTCTAGGATGTGCAGATTCCTCAATCGCTCTTAATGATTCAGAAACAATCCGCTCGTCATCTGTCTGGAGGCCTATTCTAACCCACTGGTAGATGATGTGATATTCTGCCGGTTTGATGAATGATTTCGTTCCTAGGATATCTAAGGCGTATTTCGGGACTATGACTTTGTCTGTGATTTGTATGGGAAATTCCTCGATCCTGCCACTGCTATCGGCTTGGGCTTCTGGGAAGAGATAGCGAGGAAACCAGCTTAGGATCGAATAGATCATGCTTTAGGTAAATATCGTGGTAAGTAGGATATTTGGGATTATGGGTGCTATGATGTACTGATAGATGATTCATTGATGTCTGTGGTTGAAGGATGCTGACTACGTATACAGCGCTAGTTATTCAAAGAACATGAGGGGTTATGCTACTATCGTGTACTTATAACCCTTCCAATGGCGCCATACATAACCACTCAAATCTAACAACCTAGACCACAATTTTAATCAAGACGTACCCACGATCCTTCAATTGCGCAGCGAGAGTAAAAAGAACATACATTGTATTCTCCATTAATATCTTAGTTCGAAAGTCACCTGCGTCCCAAACACATTAGTAAGAACCGCTACCAGGATTCTAGCAGACGAACTCCACTGATCGACAAAACTATGGGGTTTGTGGGTTCCCTATTACAACATTTATCGAAGATCTATTCTTCTTGCTCTTGTCTTTCTGGGGAGTTTGCTAGCGATTTAATGGTACGTACCGGTAGATACCGATATACTATACCCCGCATGCAAGCGATAGTTAAGTGTATTACTATATGGTGGGTTAGCTAGAATTACGGTATTTCGAGTTTGATACCGAAATCGTGACGAAACACCTGTGGCTGATCGTCAAACCGGCGTCTACGATACAACTTTTTTTTTTATTTCCGTCAGATGGTGATGGCTCGTACCGCAGACATTTGTGGGAAAATAGCTATAGGTTCTGACGTTAGGATATGTATTGTTACGTAATATGCAGGTCGGTTTGTATTATATATTAGTTTTTTTGGAGAGATTTAGAAAGCATGAAGTTCATATGATGCTTCTCTTGAATCTAGGATACTGGAACATATTGGCAGTGAGCTTAAAACATAGAGAAGACAAGATCCCAATATTCCTTCTTTTCTTAATCGAGATCATAGACAGCAGACTGATTGCAAGGCTTGAGGGACTGGCGTTCGTGCGTTGTAGATGTTGTATTTACAAATCCCTGTTTCGTGGAACCATAAGTGTACACTTGGAGATATCGATAACCTCGAATTCTTCCAAGACTCGAGACAATGCAATACAAAGTCAACAATAATTATGGAAGTAGTGGATACCACTCGAATATAAAATTAAACTCCTCATCTAAGCCCTGTCCGCTACCCGCTTTTATTTCAGGCATTCCTAGGTCATGATCTCGAATCAAATCATTTTAGAAGGTCTTAGCTTGGTGTTGAACTCAACTTCTATGCGTCATAGCACCCTGGTTCCCACGCTCTTCGCTTCAATGTCTCGCACAATGATATGACCCATAACGATTCACACCAGCCGCTCCAAGCCGCCATAAAACCCTTTTCCTTTGTCCTCTTCCTCTTCACTTCCATCTTTATCGCCCTCATCATCTTCATCATCGCTAGTCCTACCGCTGAAGAATACCTACGAATCTCGAGATGGCCGCCCCACCTCCGCCGTCTACCCCTGCTGCGCAAGCAGACGACTTGTTGAAGCGGCCGTTGTATGGTGTGTAGTTACGAATTTACTATTGGAAAAGTTGGAAGCTAACTTCGGAGGGTTATAGCATTTGATATACCAAGAGAGTTGTTAAAGTCGCTTGTGGTGAAGGGGTCTGGACAGGATATTACGCCTATATCAGAACCCTTGGAAACGACGGAAGATGAAAAGCTTAAAGAGTTTTTGAAAGAGCCGGATCCGACTTCTGGGATGTCTTGTACACTGTGTGGAGTCAAGAGCAAGACAGTACAGGAACAGAGGTCGCATGCTAGGTCGGATGTTCACAGGTTCAATATGAAGAGAAAAATTAGGAAAGAGCCGCCAGTGTCTGAAATAGAATTTGAGAAGATGATCGAAGGTATTTACTTAACCACCTGGGTGTTAGTGTTTTGACTGGGTATTGATGGTATTTCTAGCACTGGACGAATCGATATCAGGCTCTGAAAGCTCATCGACAGAGGATGAACAGTCCTCGGATCCACTGGCGACTTTGCTACGAAAGAAGGCTACAATAAAAGCTGCCGAGGAACTCGGAGAGGATTCACCCAGAAAGCCGAGAACTCCGATAATATGGATGTCGTCGCCAATGCTCCCAGAGTCTACATACGTTGGAGTATACCGAGCAATCCTGCCGGATTCCACAGAAGAGAGCGAAGTCACCCAAATACTTCCTACCCTACAGACACAAACGACAACGGCTCTTCCTACAGCTTCGGATCCCCACGTTTTCCTATGTATGATCGGTGGTGGGCATTTTGCGGCTATGATAGTATCACTTATTCCGAAATTGGTAAAACGCTCTGGGGTGGTCGAGAGAGAAGCTGTGGTACTTGCACATAAGACGTTCCATCGTTACACGACCCGTCGAAAGCAGGGTGGTTCACAATCTGCAAACGACAATTCCAAAGGCACGGCCCACAGTGCCGGTAGCTCCCTCCGTAGGTACAATGAAGCTGCTCTAACGGCAGATATAAGAGAATTGTTGGGGAATTGGAAGGAGATGCTTGATTCTTCGAGTTTATTGTTTATTCGTGCTACGGGGACAAGTAATCGGAAAACATTGTTTGGTGGTGATAGCCCGGTCATCAGGTCGACAGATAAGAGAATACGAGGGTTTCCATTTACGACGAGACGGGCGACGCAGAGCGAACTTATGAGATGTTTTGTGGAGGTTACGAGGTTAAAGGTATCGAAAATTGATGAGACGGTTACCGCTGCACCTGTGGCAGCTACATCGTCGGCACCTACGCCTAAGGCACCTGTCGCAAAGCTGAAGCCTTCGAAGGAAGAAGCATTGAAATTACAACATACGACAACGTTAACAACATTGCTCCGTCGGTCGAAAGCACCGGCGATAATTACATACTTGAATTCGAATAAGTTACCATTTACGTATTATTTTACACCTACCAACCACCATACACCCACCTTACTACATCTAGCAGCGTCACAATCACATCCAACAATTGTGCTAGCACTGCTTACAAAGGCACCTAATGGGAATAAGGAGTCTGCAGATCCTACGGTCAAGAATTCGGCGGGGAAGACGCCCTACGATCTCGCTGGTGATAAAGCCACCCGTGAGATATTTCGGGTGGCCCGACAGGAGCTTGGAGAAGATAGGTTCGACTGGGAATTGCTTGGAGTAGGGTCCTCGATTTCACGGAAAGAGTATGACGAAGCTACAGAGCGTGAAAAGACGGCGAAGGATGCTGAGGAGAAGGACAGAAGGGATAAGGAAACTGCAAGGTTAAGGAATATGCCTGATACTGGCAGCAGTTCTTCGGCAGCAAGCAAAGGCGGGAAGAGCTTGGCCGAGGTATTGGGAACCAACGCTGCTACAAATGCGAGGGAGGAAGAAACTAAAGGCTTGAGCGAAGAGGCGAAAAGAAGGCTAGAGCGGGAGAGAAGAGCTAGGGCTGCGGAGGAGAGGATGAAGCGGTTAGCGGGGAAGTAACTATAGCTATATAGCAGCCGAAGCTAGGTGTGATTTTTATTTCATATATCCCCGGGCCCCTCCAGTGGCATACCCGCGCATACATTGCATAGAAAGAGCGTTAGAGGCGTTTGGAATGTATATCTATTGTGGTTTTGGAGACGAATAATATACTTAAGTACGTATAAAACTTTGGAATTGCAATTGATATATCCGCACGGATGTTCGAGCCCGCTCCCGGCCCGAACCCACAAAACCGGCGAAGTTGCCAGGCAGTCACGAGATCTGGTGTGACCGCAGCACTGTAGAATTAAGGCCCTTGTCATTCTTTGCATGACCGCGGCTGGTATGGTCGTCATTTGCATCTGTCGTTTAAAAGTTGGCTCTTGTCACGATGCTTGGCGCCAGGTTGGTGTACAGCGACGTTTTTCTGCCCCGCCTTGAGCTCGAGCTCTTTTTTGATCTTCCTTCGTTTTTCCATCGACGAATATCGATCCTACTCTCACCGACCCCGTTAATCCATTGCTGCTGCCGCTGTAATTTTGCTTTAGAAACAATAGTTTTTCTTACCTCTCCTACCTACCCAAGTATAATAGTTCGTGTGCTCAGCTATCCCAGTCTTTTTTTTTTTTTTTTTTTAAACGATACATCGCAACTTATATCGATTCTATTTATTATTTATCATATTTGGCCGGGTATTTTTTTTCGAATTTTGATCGCTCGCTTTCCATCGAAGGTTTCTTCTCCCTTCTCTCTCCAACCATCTCGCCACCATCTCTCGCAATCCACCCACAAAACTAGTATATATTCTAGCTACTTCAGTACTTCCTACTTATTTACTTACAAGATCCTTGATATTATATTATAGCATACCGGTGCTATAATATACCCCCAGCTTTTCGTATCCGATTACATTTTAGCTCAATCATTTCGTCTTCCCACTCTTTCCGACATACCACCGCCATCATTATTTCGAATATTCCTGCAATTCCTCGCTCTTTTTTGGAACGAAAACTGCTGCTCCAGGGATCCCTTTCGACCAAGTCCTGCAATTGTGGGCCATCTGCTGCTGCAAGGTGACTGAATAGCTGAAGCTAGCGCACCCATCTGCCTAAATCCAGTCCTCAGGGTGAGTTAAAGGTTACATTTCCATAACTTGACAGCACTTGAAACCCCTCACTTCCGGTCTGCGACTTTCAATCCTGACTTTTCTCAACTGTCTTTCCTCTTCGTTGTTACCAATCTTTCCTTTTCTCTCGCGTCATAGTGTTTTCCCTTTTCGGTTTGACTCGGTACCGCGGTGTGCATTGTTCTAACTGGCGAGAAAGCTGTAGGCTGTACAGTTCTCAAACATACATACTTATTTCTCCATATATCGAACATCAAAGCTTTCGATTTTCTATATCTCCTACGATAACCTCTCACGAATATATTTCACGACGTCACGAATCTCTTAGATCGAAGACCCCTTATTATTATTAATATCAATCTCGAAACTTCAAATCTCGTCCAGCTTTTGGCCGATAGCTTGCGGACCCCGCAACCCCTCCATCTGGCGTGGCGCTGTCTCCACACGACCAAGTATCAAATCTCCTACAATCCGCCCTTTACATAACGGATCGATCCTCTCCTATATATCTGCTGCGAAAACCAATCCTACTCGCTCCTACGAATCTACTGTCTTCTAATATTCACGCCTACAATCGGTTTTCACGAACGTTATATTCAAAACCTATACTGTCCCCGATATAGCTGGCTATCGTTACTCCCGCTCGAATTAAAATTTCTTTTATTTTTTTTGTTCTTTCTCTATAATTTCTCTTTTCTTTATTTCTTTCTGATTTGATATTTCAACATGTCTGCGGATCAGTATCCTACACCGCAAAAGTCGCCGAGTCCGGTTCAGACGACATGTAGGTTCTAAGGCCTGGAGACCCTGATATAATACCGTTAACTAACTATTTTGATGTCTAGCTACTGCACGTATCGTTCCTTTGACTTGTCACGGGCATTCAAGACCTGTCACACATCTATCATTCTCTCAATTTGTTGATGATAACTACTTTCTTATTTCTGCTTGTAAAGGTATATATACCATCTATATCACCTGAAGTTTTTGGACACGTCGAACGGCAGCTAACTTAACTGATAGATGGCAATCCAATGCTACGTGATGGTATTACTGGCGATTGGTTAGTGTTCCTTTGGGACCTTATTTTGTGTTCCAAGGAGCTAATGTGGGATCGACGTCTTTAGGATTGGGACTTTCATTGGCCACAAGGGTGCTGTGTGGCAGGCTAGACTTTCTCGCAATGCTCATTTGGCAGCTACTGCATCCGCGGATTTTTCAGCGTGAGGTGCCATGATAATTTCTCTTATGGGAAAATATACTGAAAATATTTTTGATATAGAAAAATCTGGGATGCATTCACTGGCGAGACATTGCAAACGCTGCAGCACAACCATATCGTGAGATGTGTGACTTTCTCTCCGGACGACACCCAGATATCCACCGGAGGGCCGGAGAAGAAGCTGAGGATATACGATTTGAATAAGCCTGACGCTACAGAGATTGGCCCTGGTGCACACAATGGAACTATCAGAACGGTGTCATGGTCGGGGGCGAACCCTAACATTGTCGTCTCCGGTTCCGAGGACAAATATATTCGATGGTGGGATGTGCGAAAGAGGGATATTGTGTCTGCATACATGGTCGACGAACCCCTTGCCAGCTGTGAATTCTCAACTGATGGGAAGATATTGAATGTATCGGCTGGAAAGTCGGTATACTTCTTCGATGGGGTGTCTGGAGGGCTGTTGAAGAGCGTCAAAACAGAATACGATTGTGCGACTGTGACACTCGATGCACCAACCAGGAAGTTTGTCACGGGAGGCAGTCAGGATACTTGGGTTAGGGTATATGATTTTGATTCTGGGAAAGAACTAGGTGAGCAATGGGACATGTGATAGCAAGATCCATCAGAATGGAAGATGATGCTAATAATTTTGCTTTTCAGAGGTGAACAAGGGCCACCATGGACATATTTGGTCTGCTAGCTTTTCGCCAGATGGGAATCTTTATGCGACTGGATCTGAAGACGGGACTATCAAGTTGGTGAGTTTTGATTTAGTCTTCTTTTGGTATTACATGTCGCGTAGGTGATACTAACGAATCCCGACTTGATATAGTGGAAATACACAGCTCAACCGTACGGTCTTTGGCAGTAGTCACCTTAGAGCGGAGCGGTATGTGTGTCTCTCTGGCCACCCCGTAGTAGCAAATACAAAGTACTCTAGATGTATTGTGATAAGAGCTAGAGGTCGTGAACTGGACAATGCAATACAAATGTCACGGACTCCGGATGCGGGGTGGGGGCAGAGAAACATGCGAGATCTACCATAACTACTCCCTCAAACAGCGTGTGAGATATGCTAATGCGTAAATTCATACCTACACACCAATACGTAATGTCCGGAGTCGAGGAGTAGAAAATTATATTAGTGAAGTCAGGTCCGAGTGCATGGACCTCAGTAATTGGCTAGCACTCTGGCCCCTGAATTCGGCTGGCAATGGCAGGGTTCAGTCGTCTGGTGTTTAATGTTTTCGGCTGTGTCGAATTTGGTGTGGTTTGGTTTGGTTTGGGCTGCTCGCTGCTCAGTTTTCCCCTTAATTGGCGACAACGGGGCAGCTCTAATCTCAAAGCCTCTCAACTACCAAATTCCCCATCAACACCACCTTCCTTCTCCTCATCACCACCCATCCCCCATCGACAATTGTGACCAAGACGCTCCATCGTTCCATCGTCGCTGTCTGGACCCCTTCAATCCACGTCCTCCTTCCCGATATTGATACTTAAACGATCCTTTATCACCCCAATTGTAAGCGAACCGGAGCTATAGTTTACCAGTCGGGGAAACCTACTATAATTTCAGGGGACATCCAGCGATTAACCAGCAGTCTATCTTCATTCTACAGTCATCTTCATCCACATCAACACCGTCAACATGTCTGGTCTAAGCGCCGTACGTTCTCAAGTTCTGTTCTAATAAGCCAATCCCCAGTACAAATTCGCGTGACATGAGCTCACTAACTAATTGCGCGTCGTTCTCCACAGACCCGAAAGAAGAAGAACATCAAAAAGGGAATCCAGTTCTGCTTGATGGTATGCGGTGCCTCAGGGACAGGTTAGCATCCCGAGTCATCGCCTGTATATCTTCAATGGACGGAATGGTAGCTGATATATCTTTGTTCTACTAATTGTCTAGGCCGAACTACATTCGTCAACACCCTTTGTGGCCAGAAGGTCCTATCGAGCAAGGAGTGCGATGACCCAACCTCAGCTCATCAAGAAGAAGGCGTTCGTATCAAGCCTGTTACTGTTGGTGCGTTCCCTCTCGCTTTTTGGACGCGTTATTTGTACCCTTTTGTGCTTTTCTTCCCCCTTCTAGTATACTTCTCCATTTTGTTTCATTACACAGGGTTGCGGTTCAGATTCGAGCTTAAACTAACCCCCCAATTGAAATACCAGAGTTGGACGAGGAGGGAACTCGTATTTCCCTTACCATCGTCGATACCCCCGGGTTCGGCGACCTGATCGATAACGAGGCCAGGTACGCTTCTGTCGTATAATATATACTCTTCCATTGGATAAAAATGGACTGACGGCTGAGTGTTTGTGTCTTTACAGCTTCTCCGAGATTGTTGGGTACCTTGAACGACAATACGACCATATTCTCGCTGAAGAGTCTCGTATCAAGCGTAACCCAAGGTTCCGCGATAACCGTGTGCATGCTCTTCTCTACTTTATCACTCCTACAGGCCATGGGTAAGATATTTCCCCGGGGGTTTCGATGAGAAATGATTATGGTATTAACTATTTGTTAGCCTCCGTGAACTCGATATCGAACTAATGAAGAGGCTCTCTCCACGCGTCAATGTCATCCCAGTCATTGGCAAGGCCGACTCGTTGACCCCCTCTGAGCTTGCGGAGTCCAAGAAGCTCATCATGGAGGATATTGAGCACTACCGCATCCCTGTCTACAACTTCCCCTACGACGTTGAAGAGGACGACGAAGATACCGTTGAGGAGAACGCCGAATTGCGTGGGCTTATGCCATTCGCTATCGTCGGTAGCGAAGATATCGTCGAAGTCGGCGGCCGCAAAGTCCGTGCTAGACAATACCCATGGGGTATTGTCGAAGTTGAGAACCCACGACACTCGGATTTCTTGGCTATTAGGTCAGCTCTACTACACTCGCATCTGGCTGATCTCAAAGAAATCACCCACGATTTCCTCTACGAAAATTACAGAACGGAGAAACTTTCCAAGTCTGTCGATGGCGGTGCTGCGGAGGATAGTACAATGAATCCTGAGGACCTTGCTAGCCAGTCCGTGAGGTTGAAGGAGGAGCAGCTGCGTCGTGAGGAAGAGAAGTTGAGGGAGATTGAGCTTAAGGTTCAACGTGAAATCAATGAGAGGAGACAGGAGTTGCTTGCCCGTGAATCCCAGCTCAAAGAAATGTACGCATACCCCAATATCCCAAATTCTAATTGTTGGAAGTTGAAGACTAATTTTATGGTGTAGTGAGGCGAGATTGGCCCGTGAACAGAAGGAGTTGGAAGAAGGAATCCCGGATGATGCAAATGGTCATTAGATCGTTTCCTTTGATACCTCTTTATCATCTTTTAGCGCTATTGACCACCCACCTCAAGACGAACACGAACGGCTATTACTATTGAAGCAGAGAAGCGGCGTTAATACATGATTGAATACTAGAAAAAGGTACCTATTTATATAGACTGCTCTTTTTTTGGTAAGATCTTGCTACCAGCCTTCTTTTTGAACCAAAGAGCATGTTGTGAGCTGGAATATAAAGCGCTTGCTCCTTGGTCCTGTACCCGAAGCCCTTCTTTGTTCCTTGCCTACGTCTTTTCTTTCTTATCATTTTTATACCAGACCCTCTTCTTCCTTTTTTTTACTTTTCTACCACATTTCTTCATATTAGTATTCCCCTACCGTCTAATCGTGCTGAAGACGATACATCGCCGTTCCTGGTCCTACTACTTCTAGTATTATATAGCTTTTGTAATTCTTCTTGTAACGAAGAGAGAAAGAGAGAAATGTGAATTGTGTTTGTTGAAGTCCCGTTGTAAATGGAATGTGGTAGAAACCCAGGTTGGCCTGGGTTGTTGCGTGAGAGCTGCTTTGTCACGCAGCAGCCCGCTAAACACCAAGTTAGCTAGGTCATTTATTGCCTGGAAGCTTCGTAAATACGGATTCGGTTGGCACGTAATGCTACAGCTTGGAGGCTTGCTCCGACCTCATTCACCCCTGCTACTATAACCAAGTAGCAGAACCTCAAGGATCTAATCACTTCATCCTTCCACCCTCCAGCTTCTCGAGACTCATATTCACGCGTCAATATCTTCTTATTCTTCGACATAATATCTCTACTCTCCACTACAACCGTATTCCATTTGTATCTGGCGCCCGTTATCGATAACCCCACGCCCATCCTAGCTCCAACATCCCACCACAGTCATGGCGAAAGACCTGCCTTTTAAGCTCTCCCAGACGCTTGTCGGGCATAATGAAGATGTAGGAAGCTCACAAATTTATTTGTACCTTTACTTCTGGAGTAAAATTGGACTAACAGTAACCTCTTAACTCGATGTAAAGGTCAAAGATGTCCTATTCGTTGACCCCGCCACTATCATCTCCTGTTCTCGTGATGCAACTGTCCGAATATGGAGTCCCTTGGTTGGAGGGGAGGATAATAAGGACAAAACAGATCCTCCACAAACGTCTGAAACTACAGCTGAGGATGATGCGCCCAACCCACCATCCACAACCACGTCGACTTTCGTCGATACCATAAACTCCAATGCCCAGGGATTTGTCAACTGTCTTGCCTATATGAAACCCGATGCCGACCATCCAAAAGGGCTAATTATCAGCGCTGGACAAGAATCCTTAATTGACGTTCGACCACCTGGATATCTTGGTCCCGATGCTGCATACCTCTTGATCGGGCATTCGGGGAATGTCTGCTCCCTTGATGTCCACGGAACTACTATTATTAGTGGTAGTTGGGATAAAACCGCTATCGTGTGGCAAAATTGGGAGAAGAAGTACGTTCTTGAAGGACATACGGCTGCTGTATGGGCTGTCATGGCGGTTTCGGATACAGAATTCATCACAGGATGTGCGGATGGGAAGATTAGATGGTATCGAGAGAATAAACTTTATAGATCGGTGCAGGCGCATACTCAGCCAGTTAGGGGGATCCACAAGTTGAATGATGAGAAGGACGGGGCGTTCATTAGCTGTGGAAATGATGGGTGCGTTTTGAGACGTTTCCGTGTGGATTCTGGGGCATTTACTTACAATAAGTGATATTTAGGGTCATTAAGTCCTGGTCCGCAGAGGGAAGGGAAATCGAAACGGTCTACGCTCATAATGCGTATATCTACTCTGTCACGGTTCTGCCAAACGGAGAATGGGCATCGTGTGGTGAAGATAGGACTTTGAAAGTTTGGAGAAGTATGTGGGCCTTTTCTATCTTAAACCATAATCTGCGAGCTTGCTGCTGACGGGTATATGACGACTATAGAGGCACAATGTTTACAATCAATCTCCCACCCTTGTATAAGTGTCTGGTGTGTTTCGGCCAGTCCCAATGGGGACCTAATTACAGGAGCCAGCGACGGAGTTTTGAGGGTTTGGTCGAGGGAGCCTGAGAGACAAGCAGACGAAGAGACATTGAAGGTATTTCCGAAACTTCTACGTTATATAAATTGGAATCTGGGTACTAATTTGTGGACTTAAGGCGTATTCCGAGGCCATTGCGAACCTTACAATTGCTGAGGACACTATGGATATTGATAAAGCATCCCTACCTGGAATGTCCGCCCTCGGCCGTCCTGGAAAGCATAACGGAGAGGTATGGTAGCCCTGCGAATATTCACGAGGCAGTTTTGTTCTGATATATATTCCAATGAATACAGAAAATCCATATCAATAACGATGGCAATATCGAAGCATACCAGTGGTCATCCTCTGAGACCACATGGGAACAAGTTGGCGTCGTTGCGTCCGCTGTTAGTAGTGGAAGGAAGGTTGAGTACGAGGGTCAATTTTACGATTATGTCTTTGACGTCGATTTCGAGGAAGGGCAGCCACCAAAGAAGTTGCCGTTTAATGCGGCACAGAATCCATGGGATGCAGCAAGAATTTTTTTGGAGAGGAATGAGTTGCCAATGTCGTATTTGGATACTGTGAGTTTCAGTTTCTATCTTATTTGGGGTATACTCACTAACAGGTGTCTTCTGTAGACGGCCAACTTTATCGTTCAGAACACGAGAGGAACTCAAATAGGTACCTCACAGCAGCCACAGTTACCGGCCAGCGCAGATCCGTTCGGTATTGAAAATAGATACCGTCCTGGTGATGAGCTTAATCAACCACCACCTCCACCACCAGAACCTCCAAAATTGCTTCCATGGAAGACATATCTCGATATCGCTAATGTGAATCTCGAGGCGGCAACCAAGAAGATTCTTGAACATAACGCACACTTCCTTTCCCTGGGGCAGAAAGAAAAGTCCTTGAACGATGAGGATATAGAAACCCTGAAAGCATTGACCGGGTTTTTGGCGAAACCGTCGGCACCAACATCGGCTTCAGCTAAGGGGTCCGCTGCTGTCAAGAATGGACTTGCGCTGTTGAACAAGATCATTACTGAATGGGAAGGTGTTCGAAATCTTGCTGCACTAGATCTTCTTCGAACCTTGGCAAGATACAGTCCCGCTGTTGTCCTTCAAGATGAGGATTTACTCGATTTTTTGGATGCGACTAGATGCTTCGACTCTGCGTCTCCCAGCCATGTGACCTTCGGATCACGAGTTTTGGTAAATTTGTTTCACCATGCTGAGGGTTTAGAGTACGTTACTGGATCTAAGGCAGTTGATATTATGGAACGTGTTGGAACGGCGGTGGACGGTAGTAAGAATAGGTTGGCGCTTATTTCTGCGGACACATTATCTTTGAAGTAAGATACCCTCTTCTTTCTTTTAATTTTTTCCTTCTCTGTCTGAGAGAGGTGACGCTGTTCTTTTTACTAACGTGGAATCTTCTAAAACAACAGTTTCGCTGTCTACTATTCGAAACAGAAAGACATGACCTCCGAACAGAGGTCAATCTGCTTGTTACGGCCTCTGCTCAGGCGAATAGATATGTTTAGTGATACAGAGGCCCTATACAGAGCTATGATGGCGCTTGGGACATTGATGGCGACTGGGAAGAGGGGCTTTTGGGCAAAAGTGCATGACTTTGAGGCTCGAAGGACTATTGATGATGCGCTGAAAAAGATTGATAAAGAGAAGGAGAAGAGGATTGTGGATGTTGTGGCTGAAATAGATGTATTGTATGCGAATCATCCTAAATGATTCACCCCCCCTTTTTTTTGGTCTTTTGAAACTTGGATTGGAGGATCATGGAATGGATTGGGAGAGATGGTGGGGGTATCTGGAATAACCTTTTTTTTCTTTTGAATAAGGCTTTTTTTTTTGGTTCTCTTTTTCTTATTCTAGGGGGTAATACACATTGGCTATATTGTGACAAAAGGGCGGAAGCAGTATATTACTTTGTATAGCTAGCGGGTAGGGAGGTAGGTAGGCGGTTATCAACCTGCTTGGCTTTTGAGCACCTGCATCTTTGAGAGGGGCTTCCACATAAGCTTAAACTTACGGCCCTTTTTTTATATTTTTAAGAAGACGGAAGGGGGATTCGAATGCAAATGGCAATGGAAGGAGAACAAAGAAAGAATTACATCTATATATATATATATATCGGATCAATATACCAATATATGGAAGAGGATGCCGTAGTTTTCCCAGTTTTAATAATATATATAATAATATGAATTATCTCTCGTAAACCAAATGTTATATATGGGAGGTATACGTAAATATATAAGTATTAGAAATAATTATTAGCTATTGATATGCATGCGTGTCCCCGTTACGTATACTCCCCTGCCTAGCTAGCTGGCGAACTGGTGGGTGTTTAAACGTTTGTGTTATGTAATTCGCTCGCGCTCCTGTTCTTCTTTTTCGATTTTTTTACTCCGCTGCTTGCTTGCTTGGACCTCTAGCTTTGCATCTACCCCCTCCTCTCTCTCTCTCTACCCTTATCAGTTTATACAAAAAAGGGTATTTTTTTTGGTTCGTTTTTGTAGAAAGGAAAGGAAAAGGGGAAAATGCAACTCGTATGTTTGTGATACTCCTTACCAATGATGGTTATGCTGGCTAAAAGAAATTAATAAAAGAAGGAAAGAAAGAAAGGGAGAGAAAGCAAGTACTAATCAAAAGAAAAGGCTTTGGAGGTTATATGATCTGAAGGGTGGTGGTGGTGGTAGTGATGAAAGGAAAACGAAAGGCGCATGTACATGTACAACTACAATGACCATGACAATCGAGAGTTTGAAAAGAAGAAAGAAAGGAAAGAAAGAGGGCCAAGGGAAAAAATGTACCCGTCTCGTTTCTGGACAAACTAAGTAAGCATATTTTTTCCCTTTTCTTCTTATTCTCGTTCTTCTTCTTCTCCTCCTGGCTTTTTAAAAGCCTACTAGTCTCATCAACCCGTAACCAACTGTTATGACTAATATAAAAGCGGCAATGCTGCTCGGAACACCTCTGGTGATGAAATGGGTGACCCTTAGGTACCTTTGGCCGGTTTGGTTGTCTTCCATCATGATTGCGGCTATTTTTGAGAGTTATGTACGTTAGTAATCAAGAGTAATATGACATATATCTGCGGGAAGATAGAGAGGGAGAGAGAACATACTCATATTCGGAAACCCAGAAGTCGGCAGACCCATCGCAGCCGAACACATCAAAGCACTAACCATCACCAAAACCCTCGGATGCGGATCCTCCATCTGAGCACCAACCTGGCTCACAATAGGTAAAATAATCAAAGCAGCAACAGTATGACTGATGAACGTCGCAATAACAAGAATCAACCCGGCGAACGTAACGGCTACACCGTAAAGACTCATGGTATTCGTTACTTGTTGGATATGGCGAGCGATTGTATGCAAGAGACCTGATGAGTTAACAGCCTTTCCGAGTGATAACCCACCGGCTGCGAGGATGATGATCGTCCATAGGAAATTGTTGAAGTCTTCTTTGGTTAGGATACCGCTACCGAAGAACATTACGATGGGGATGATGGCTATGACGCCCATATCGCCAAATTCGGCTTCTAGACTCCCGGCGAAGCACCAAAGGACGATGGTGGCTACGGTTACGAAGGAGATGAAGTATTGAACACCTGTGAATTTGTCCTTGATGGGTCTGATGGGGACGATGTTTGTTCCACGGCCTGGTTTGAAGGTAACAAGGAGGATAGCCCAGATGGCGAAGATGGAGAGGATGGAGACTGGTAGGGCGACAACGAACCATTCGCCCCAGCTTGGTTCCGGTTTCATGTTTTTCAAAGCGATGATGTTTTGAGGGCTGGCGATTGGAGAAGCCATGCCGCCGACGTTGGAGGCAAGGGCGATGCCGAGGATCAAGGCTTTGCTCATGTTTGATTCTGCAGGGAGGTTTCGTAGCATTGGCTGTGGTAATTGTTAGTATATGGGGTACATACATATATTAATTGAGATGGGACGGTCTGTACCTGAATAAGAGAATAGCAAAGCACTGGCGCTGCAACATTGCTGATCCACATGCTGGCAACCATTGCCACGAACATATTTGTCAATAGCACGGTTCTAGGCCTCGTCCCTGCCATACTGACCACTTGTGTCGCCATTAATTTCGCAATATGGTATTTGCTCAATGCTGCGGCGATTGTAAACCCGCCGAGCAGCAGCATGATGACTGGTGTCCACATGGCCGCGAAGATGTATTTCGCTGTATCTTTGGCGTCCAACCGGGCATGCGGTTTCTCGTCTTCTCGGCATACTCTGAGGATAACCACAAGGAATGGTATCATCAGTGACGTTACGAACAGTGGGATGACCTCTGTTGCCCATAGTATAGACGCAAACACCAGGATCGCAAAACAACCCCTTTGCTCTGGCGACTCAAATATTGGTGCAAACAGTACTGCGAGAAATATTGCCGTCGCTATAATCAACGTAAAGAAGTTCGAACTAATGAGCCATCTTGGGCACGTGATCGTGCCTAACGGTGTTCGGATTTCGGTCTTCTCTGACGGTGCTTCGTCTCCTTGGCGTCGGGTGCGTTCTTCCGGAACATCGGCGCCGAGGAGTGTTCGTCTAATACCCAAATTGGCAGCTTGCGCCTTTCTTTCAATACCAATCATCTCCCTCCAAACCGTATTTCTCTCCCAAACGACATGTTCTCTCAAGTATAGTCTCAGCTCTTTTTTCGCTGTATCCGTGTCGTCATTAGTGATGAGTTCAGCGTATATGGCTTCAATCTTTGCGATTCCATTGCCCAAGTCTTTCGCCGTTTTATCTCTGAAAACGTACGCCGATTCCACGGACGCCGAGATGTACTTATCTCTTAAGTTCCGATTGAGAATCTTGTCGTACTTTTTCAGTGCCTTTGAAAAACCTGTTCTGTTGAGTTGAATGAATGACTTGAGCTCGACCATGGATACATAAAGATTGATCGTCCGTTTTTTGAGAGTGATACGTTCGTCGTAAAGAGCCGTAAGGATGCCTTCATTAAACTCATCGTATACGAGAGAGGTACGACGTTTTGCCTTCGATTGAGTGGCAGAGAGAAGATCGTTGCTACCGATTGTCCCAACCGTGGATCCTCGTTTACGCCGTTTCACATCCGCTGTGCTTGTGCTAATAAGCTCATCCTCGGAGTTCTCGGAGTCAGAGTCGGATTGGAAGCCCTTGTGTCTGCCATTGACGGGACTAAGTGCTCTCGGGCTGCTTGATGAGGCAGGACCTGGATTTCCGGCGTTTGAACGACGGCGTTTGCTGATGAATTGGCTTCCTTCAAGTTCGGCTGGAACACCCAGTTCGTCGAGTTGGTTCTTCACATAAGCGTCCTTATCGCGAATGAGTTCGTCGAGGTCAGCGTAGAGTTCGAGCTCTTTCAATTGGTAGAAATCAGCAATCTTTTGAAGTTCATTGTCGAGAGCACGTTTGAAGATCGGATCAGGGTCTGTGCCATCCTGGATGAGAGCAGTGTGTTCTTCGTCATCGGCTCGTTGGGCGGCTTCGTTGGCTTTCTTTTCGAGGGTATATATACTACATAGCAAAGTACCTTGAATTAATTACATGCCAATCCAATCAAAATTTAAAGAATGTGTTTTTCTGGAAATATAGAAAACCTACAGCTTCTTTAGATTGGAGTAGGCAATGTAATTTGAGCTCCATTCCGGAACGGCATTAAACTGAACGCTGTGACTGAACTTCATGTCGAGAAATCTAAGCCACTTGGCTTCCCGCCGTTTCTCACGGTCAGAGTCGAAAGGAGTGTCAGCGGTGGCGGATGAGTTGGCCTCGGCAGGCCTGGGTAGCTCTTGAAGCTGGTAGGACTCTGCGGGTTTAGAGCGACGAGGGTCGTCGTCGCCGTCGGCGTGTGAAAGAGTCCGAAAAGGAATGAGGCCGGACACGTTTGCCAACCTATTTTGTTGGTTTGCGAGAGTTAGCCGTTTGAAATCGGCAATAAATCGGCAGGAAGTTAAACAAAAAAAAAAAAAAGTTGAAGAAGAGGAAGAAGCCTTACGAGGGGAGGATCTTTTTAGGGATCCTGAGAGCTTATTTAAATATTTTTAATCTACCAACGACCAACGACCAACGACCAGCCTGCACTTTGATCGTTCCAGAAACCAGAAACAGTCACACGAGCAAGACAGGAAGACAAGAACGAGAACGAGGAGATTGGCCGGGGAATGCCAAAAAATTTTAAAAATTCTGATAGCGAGCGTGGGGACCAAGCAGGTACATGTACTTCTAGCTGGCTAGGCTCAGGACGTCGAAGGAACAGGAGTGTCTTGCCGACGACGGACGAATCATCGGGCGAGTAAATCGCAATTGTTGGAGGTAAGCAGCAGATGTTTCTTATTCCTGCCAGAGTAACTATAATAATAGTAGCGGTACTGGGTACATGGACCTTCGGTGGCGGTGGTGGGACTGACACGGGGGGAAACTGGATTGAGGAAGAGCGAGAGGCTCATGATGCGAATGGATGGTGTGCGTGGGTGGATTAGGAGGGATGGATGGGATCAAATCTGACGATGTGGTTCCTGAACAGCAGGTTAATTACGTGGAAGCTGCAGCGCCCAGTCTCCAAACCCTGCCCTGTTCGGGGTTCCCTGTGTCATATCTTCATCATAGCACAGCACCGTACCAGCCAATTCACTTCTCGTATTACAAGCAACATATTGTGAATAGATCTCTTTTTACGATATATCCAACTAATATATTACTCGATAGGTAAGTAGATATATAAGGGAGTAGAGTGGGGGTTTACTTCTGCTGCTGCTGCACCCGCGGGAAGCCAGGGAGATCTAGTTTAGTCTGGTCAACTGGTTAACATTAACGACAACTAAAAAGTTCCCGATTCGAGATTCGATCATGCGCCCAAATTCGGTTTGAACGTCTCCAACATCGATTAAATACTTAAAGGGCCGCAGCTGCAATCCAGACGAATCGGAGAACCCACCGAGCCCACGTTTTCGGTATTTCATTATTTCTCCATCTCATCTCTTTCTCCATGTTTATCTGATCGGTGCACCCGCTGACTGTGTTTTATCGAAGGATGCAACGATGCTCGATATCAACCAAACCCAGATGTAAGTCATATTTCGCATCACACGACATCCTCTCTATCTATTTTCCCTCTCACCCCCTGGCCTTGTACTTGTGCTTCTCCTCGTTAAAAGGTGACTTTTCTTACCGCCGTACGGGGGGCTGATGTTCTGGCTGGTGCCGCTATATTCCGTTGGTCGTTCTTGAAACCTTACTATCTCATACTAAAAAATTTCTAATTTTTTTTTCACCCCGGTCGAATGTATCAGTGTATCGAGAGAGGACCTCATCCCGCCGAAGTCTCCAGAGAGACCTGTTCAAACTGTAGACTGGTCTTCGATCCTTGGATATAGTCTCGGGGACTCTTCAGCCGCACAAGAAGACGAAGCCGAAGCCGAAGACGATGATATCTCGATAGCATCCAATCCACATCCCGCCGAAGTTTCTTTCCGACTATTTGCTCCCACAAAGGACGACACTGCCGCTACAAATGTACAAAGTTACATTCTGCCAGCCTCGCCGCCGCCGGAACAACAGGCTTTGCTAGCGGCATCCTTAACGGCGGATATCCCCCAAGTCCCACACTTCTCCGAGCAAGACGTCCAAAATGCTCACGCGACACATAGACCCACTACTTACTATCTTACCCCGCCGTTAGAAGAAGACGAACTTCATGCCACGAGGTTTCGTGATGTTGCTGTTTCCGGCGAACAGGTTTTGGAAGAAAGTCAGAAGTCATGGCCGGGGTGTGAGTTGTCATGGAGGGTCATGAAGTTGAGCCTTTTGGGTGGGAAAGATGGTGTCTCGGAACTGAAGAACGGGATGGTATCTGCATCGACGGCGACGGCGACGACGATTGTTCTCCAGGCAACGTCTTCGATAAAGGAAGGGAGGAAACGACATAGACCGAACAAGAAACGACGGATAATAATGAGAAAACGACGGGTAGCTAAAGAAGAAACGGAGGCTAAGAAGTCAAAGAATGCTATCAAGAAGAAGAATAAGAAGAAAAGAGCTGAGACAACGGCTGCCGTTCAGGCGATTGTTCACAAGAGAACTGAAGATGAAGATCGAGAGAAGAAGGCGAGGATGAACCGTCTGAAGAAAGAGAGACGGAAGAACAAGGTGAAAGAGGTCAAATCAGATCCCCAATCGTAGTGCATGGGATGATATTAATAGTAGTTATGACGTTATGAACATTCTATCGGACCCCTCTGCTGTATAATATTTATGATGATATGTATATTTTATGTATTAAAGCTACTTAAGCTATCACCAACATGTACCATACACTTCCCTTCGATAATATCAAGATACCCTTTACTTTAATTTAATATGATCAACCCCATCTTCATCTTTGATTTAACTAGAATATATCTACTTGACTTAGTACTCTAGTAGAAGTAGTAGGTAATAGGTAGCACTGCAAGTAGTGATCACGATGGTGGTGGTGGTGGTGGTGGTGGTGGTGGTGGTGGTGGTGTTGATAGGTATGCGACTGCGACTGTTTCGGGTTACTGCAGCAACTTGCCGACCAGCATTCATCCCACCTTCAAACCCGACTCAATCACCCCGCCACTAGCTCTACCAACTAACCAACTGCCACCTTCACCCAGCTGCCAATACTTCTATCAGCCAGTAGTCCATACCAACAAACCAACATACTTCATACATCACGTTCGTGCAAACAAACCACAATGGCGACGTATGTTCCCGTCCTTCAGTTAGAGAAGTCGTCCACCCGCTAACATAGGTACCGGCGTCGCAGAAAACCAGCTTTCCGACCTAGCAAGGCGCGACAGGGCGTCACAAGCTTCCATCTCCGACAGTATGCGCAGGCGACACTCGGTAGTGGTAGTCTGCGAAAGGTTGTTATGCTACCTGAGGGAGAGGTATGATATATATTCTAAAATACTATATGTACTTGCTTTATGTGTTCGATAGAGTGTGGCATGCTAACGTTCGGATGGTTACAATAGGATGAGAACGAATGGTTGGCATTCAATAGTACGTTACCTTACAGCAGAATTACAATATATCACTACGGTCGCTAAACATGAAGCTTTCGGATTTATAGTTGTGGATTTCTACAATCAGATCAACCTGCTGGTATGCGACTCTAGCCTTTTTACATAGTTGAGGTGGTGGCGGGTCAAGAAGCTGATGGACGATAATAGTTCGGGGCCGTCTCCGAGTTTTGTACGCCCATCACATGCCCAGAGATGAAAGCAACAGACGAGTTCGAGTATCTGTGGCAGGATGGTGAGAAGTACCGAAAGCCGACCAAGATGCCGGCTTGTCAGTATGTCGAACACTTGATGACGATGATTCAAAAGAATGTCGACGATGATCAAGTATTCGCATCCCGCAATGGTAAGAATTCATACTATATTACCTTCTCCTTACGGAGTAAGAGGAACCTTTGTGCTAAGAGAATACTAATTGAAGGAGTTGAATTCGCACCGGATTTTCGTAACCTAATCGTGCAATTCTTTAAACGTCTCGCCCGTGTCTATGCCCATATCTACTGTCATCATTTCCCGGTTGTTGGGGCGCTGGCATTGGATAAGCACATGAATACATCGTTCAAGCATTTTGTTCTTTTCGTCAAGGAGTTCAAGTTGGATCAGGGAAGGGACTACTGGGGGCCATTGAACGAGTTGGTCAATTCGATGATGGCAACGGCGGATCAGTAGAGCTTCGAGCTTAGAGCTTCACTGGCTTGCTGGCTTTTATGTAATATGGATCCATGGCTATGATTGCTTTTGACCGAATTGGCCCTCTTTTTTTTATTTTTATTGTATAACGTTCTGGTCGCAAGCGTTTTGGATATGCATTTGGAATAGCGAGGGGAAGGCGTTAGACGTTTTGTCATGTTTTCTAGGGAATTGAATGCAAAGATGACATATTTGGCTGGTCGTTTGGCAGTAATTAACAGCCGCCCAGCCGCATCAGCCTCCCCTTCTTTGCCTTCCATCTTTCCTTGCTGTCTTTGCCTCCAACCAAACCAAGCCAAACCAAACCTCTCAATCATCCTCGCCGCCACTTCTACTCTTCTTCTTCTTACTCTTATTCTTATTCCATCGCATCGACATCAGAAAACCTCCGAATCCTTTCCCGTCGCAGACTTGTAACCAACTTCCCCCCCCCTCCCGGAAGCAATTATAGGAATTTAGAATTAAAGCCGAAACTGTACCCCGTACCGCTTGCCGTACAGTGTGTGTGTGCCTGACAGTCGCCCAGACTCCCCAGCTTGCGTCAGCTGCCCTTTATCACCAACCTTCAAATCCGCAAGAAATAGTCAACCCCTTCAAACCCACTTTACTCTCTTCTTCTCTCTCTCTCCCTATCTCCTCTCGATTATCATTTCACCAACCATATCATTACCCACAAACAAAACGACTACATACGTACCTCTCCCTGACAAAGCATTTATACAAAGATGGCCAGCGTGCTAGATTCCGAACCCGGCTCCGAGCTCTTCGCTTCCTATGAAGCGGACTTTAAGCTGGTACAGGCCGACATCAGCCAGAAGCTTGAGCAAATCGCCGAACTTGCCGGAGAGCCGAAAAAGGCCGCCGTCAGGGCGGCGCAGAGAGCAGTAGAGGAAGCTGATGAAATTGTATGTTTTTTTTTTTTTCACCACTTTTTTTTCTCAATATTTCCGACATTTAATAGCTAGAATAAATTACTAATCTCTAAAATTGGGTCCTGGGTGCGTGGTAATGGTCATGCGATAGATCTCACAAATGCGCATAGAAGTCCAAAACATCCCCACAAACATCCGTTCCAAATTCTCGCCGCGAGTTCGAAACTACGACCACGACCTTGATAAATCCAAACAATCGCTCAAGCGCGCTGCCGCAGAAGCCGACCGTCAAAACATCTACGGCGGTAAAGGTCCACAAGGTCAAGATTCGGTATACGAACAGCGACAACAGTTATTGTCCGGGACCGAAAGATTGGAAAGGAGTAGTCAGAGGTTACAGAATAGTCAGAGATTGGCTGCTGAGACGGAGAATATCGGAGCGGGGATTTTGGGGGATCTGTACGGTCAGAGGAGTACGCTTTTACATGCTAGGGAGAATTTGTTGGAGGGGGAGGGGTATGTTAATAAGAGCGTGCAGACGTTGAGGGGGATGGCGAGGCGGTAGGTTTTATTTCCCTTCCTTTTCTCTGACATAGCGCGCCTATATGTGGAGGCGGGGTTTTAAAGATTGTTAAAAAGAAGGGGTTGCTAAAATGGAGATAAAAATTGTTTAGGATGGCGACGAATCGTATGATTACTATTGCGATTATTACGGTGCTGGTTCTACTTATCATTGCGGTTATTTTCAACAAGTTCAGGTAAAGGGTCGGCTGGAGTTTATGGGATTTAAATGGGGGGTTCGGGGTTTCTATATACGGTTGTAATTGCAACATTGAAGATTATGGAGAGGGCCGGAGGTTATGGGAAAAAAAAGAGAGATTCGAATGCCTTGATTTCCCCATAGTATCAGCTTTTGGGAGAAAGCGGGATTTGACTTTTTTTTTTTATATATACTTCTGGTCGCCGGAGAGGGTTCTTTCTATTATTGTGAATGTGTGTGTGTGTGTGTGAAGATTAACCTGTCTCCGAGTGAGAAGGCGGGTCATTATAATAACTCTTTTTTTCGCGTCCCTTCACTTCTTATAACTATTTCAGTACTTGAGGACTGCCCTGGGTGATTTTTACTTCCGATTGGATTGGTGTACTATACATACCTCTGACTTCTTCTTTTTCTTTCTTTCTTTCTTTCGAGCGACCTTGCTGTTTCTTCCCTTTTCTCTATTATCCTCGTTTGCTTTTTTTTATTCGTTTCTTTCTTTTCTCAATTTCGATTTCAATTTCAAATTAGAAGAATCCATTGTAGTAGTCGGGTAGTTTATCATATCATCTCGATTCACACTGGCGTTACCATCAGCCTTTTTTTTCCATTTTCCATTTCCATTTCTTACAATTTTCATGCATGATAACGGACCTGCATGGTTGCAACCCCCCGCACCTTCTTCCCTTTCAGAGTATGTACTAGCAGGTAGTTTGGGTTTTTTACCGGCCGGACGTAAAAGTGGCCGGCATTCCCGTTCTTTTTTAGCGTAATCTTTAAACCGATACCGCAGGTTAGGTTTGATATGGTACGATATGGTATGACATGGATGGAGCTCCAGAGAGGTTTACATAAAAAAGGGTGGTTTCGTCGAGCTAATCTCATGACGAAATGCAGTGTTCGTTTTCTCTCTTTTCGTGATAAAATAATTATAATCGGTACGGCTGCAGCCTTCTTTGTCGAGGCTACGTCTTTTTCATTTTCTTCTTCTTTTATTTTATATATATATATATATACCTCTGAAGTTATCAATTGAAACGAGATGGCACCGTTTTTACCGGCTTTCCGTCGATAGTTGGACCTCATCCGTAGAACCCGGCTATCTATAAACCCACCGCGCCAATATCGATATCTACATCGATATCACCTTCGATCCGAGTATCTCCAAATCAATCTCCAAGATAATCAAAAACAGTCATCGATATTATATAAGTATATACTTACTTAAGTATATATAATAATAATATTAATATAAAAAAAAAGATGACAACAACACCATACATCCCACTCCCACCCACAATAACCTCTCTAATCCTCATCCCCCCGATCCTGGACTGCATCGTAACCTACCTGTACACCCTGGACCTTCTAAGTCTCTCCTCGACATCGCTTACGATCCGAGCACATTTACTTTCTTCACACGCAGCTTGGCGGGCGATATCGTTTTATACACCGACGCGACCGTTGGAACAATGTCGATACGAGGAGAACGTTACGAGTGTTTTTGCGAGTACGATTGCGGTTCGGAGTCGTCATATAAGTCCTCGGACGTTGTCACCTGTTGGCGGGGATGGTGATGATGATATTGACGATAATAATATCGATAAAAAATACATCTTGGGAGATAATAAAGAGACAGATAATAAGAAGAAGAAAAAAAAAGATAGATACTTATCAATCGACACCACGCTTACAATACTAGCTAGATCACTCCCTTCGTTATCGATGTATACATCGATAGATCTGAGTAGAACCCTGGCTGATAAGTATCTATTAAGGGATTTGATAGATAATTGTTCCGGGTTGAGATATTTACGAATTGAGGATTGTCCGAAGGTTAGAATTGCGGATTTGGTGGTTGGGTTGTATGGAGTTGAGAAGAAGGTTTTGAAGGGGATCGGGAAGGGTGGAGGGGTTAGTTTTGTGGCGGAGGTTATGGGGAGGACGAGGGTTGTTGGTGGTACGAATACTACCAATACTATCTCTGGTATTAATGGTGGAGGGGGAGGAGGGGAGGGAAAGCTATTATCAAGACTAACACACATCCATACGAAAGAAGTTCGAGATGGATTATATCGATTGAACGAATTAAGAGACGGGGTCAGAGGGGAGATAGTAAGGGTTATGAGTCGGATGGAGGATGTATACGAATACCCTGAGTTACCACCAGTAGAAATAATATTGGATATCAAAGAGGTAGTGAGGAAGACGGTTGGGTTGAAGTTGAGGGAGATCAGGATCGGAGGGACGACGGATTTGAAGTTGAATCGGAGTAGTTATAATGGAACGGGATGGTTGGAGAGGTTGGCGTATTCGCAGGGGGATTATTTGTGGGTTCTGTGCGGACTTTTGGGGGTGCTGTTGGTTGAGATTTGATATATTTACAGAGTAATATCTACAAATATAAATATAAACCGGCTAAAAAGAGGTCGATTGGAACGAGCCAAGCGAAGATGAGCTACAGAACCGAACGAATATTTTTAATAAAATACTTAAATAAGCGAAAAGCAAAACAGGGCGGACTTTTTTGGTTGGGGGGACTTTTTAGCGAAAACTTATCTTCATATTTGAAGGCCTTAAGGAAAGTGGCCGAAAGTGATAAGGTCTGTATAGACGAGCTGGTTCCCTGTCGGTTGGTTGCATGGTTTAATATTTTTTTGAGTTTCTGATCTTGCACGGATTGTATGTATGTATTGTACCTCGCATGCGATTATATATTAAAGATCCTTAGATTTATTTTTATTTAAATATAGACGTTTGTCGGAGATGTCCTCCACCGAACATCGGCGTTTCGACGAAGCTTCGAAGGGTATCATCGTATGATATCATGCAGGTATTGCATTATATTATATTGCATTTGTCACAGCGGATATATAATAACAAATATCAAGACTTAACTGTACAGTTATTAAGTAAGTATTATATTAATAGAGTAAATAAGTCATTGGAGTGATATATATATATATATATATATATATATATATATGGGATTGCATTGATATCTGATGGGAAACCGTCGAGATGTCGATGTTCCTGCACGAAAGACATACGTACATACATACATACATGTGCCAGAACATGCACGGAAGAACTAACTAATTAAATTAAATTTCTTTACAGATAACAGGCTTGCGCGTGCATTTGAAGGATCGGAGTGTTAGTTAGTTAAGTTATAGTCTGTACTAATATAATATAAGGTAGTATGTAAATGCTATAATGAGGCGGACCTTGTTTGCATTTGCATTCCACCAATTCGTTTCGGACCAATGCCACTAACTAAGTATTTAGTTAACAGCTAACAGCTAACAGCTAACAGCTAATTAAGTAATTGAAGGCCTGCATCGATCTGGACTTTCTTTTCTTTTCTTTTCTTTTCTTTTCTTTCTTTCCTTTTCTTCGATTCTTGTACTTTTTAGTCTTCCAAAGCTTCCCTGGTTTTCCCGAGAATTTTCTATTTTTTATCTTATTTTCGATAAAATATCATATCATATATTTATTGTATACCTGTCATATTAATTGATATCATTCGGATTCAATTGAATACCAAAGTACTACTTTGTCCTGGGTACAGTTCTCGTAAGCTAGGTTGTCGCTAAGGAAGTCGCAATTGGATTCGAGTAGTGTGCCGTTGTATAGTTCGTTCCATTTCATCGTCAGCTTCAAAGTAGTTCCTTTCTTTCTTTCCTTCTTTCTTTCCTCTCTTCTTTCTTCTTCTTCTCTTCTGCTTCTTGTTCTCTCTTCTCTTTGTTGTCTTCTCTTCTTAACCTCAACCACCAACATCTCCATCGCCACCACCACCACTCATCACAACTTCACTAACCTCGTCCGACTCTCTCTCTCTCTC